CAAATTTGCGGATGATACTAAACTGGGAGGAGTGGTAGATACGCTGGAGGGGAGGGATAGGATACAGAAGGACCTAGACAAATTGGAGGATTGGGCCAAAAGAAATCTGATGAGGTTCAATAAGGATAAGTGCAGGGTCCTGCACTTAGGACGGAAGAACCCAATGCACAGCTACAGACTAGGGACCGAATGGCTAGGCAGCAGTTCTGCGGAAAAGGACCTAGGGGTGACAGTGGACGAGAAGCTGGATATGAGTCAGCAGTGTGCCCTTGTTGCCAAGAAGGCCAATGGCATTTTGGGATGTATAAGTAGGGGCATAGCGAGCAGATCGAGGGACGTGATCGTTCCCCTCTATTCGACATTGGTGAGGCCTCATCTGGAGTACTGTGTCCAGTTTTGGGCCCCACACTTCAAGAAGGATGTGGATAAATTGGAGAGAGTCCAGCGAAGGGCAACCAAAATGATTAGGGGTCTGGAACACATGAGTTATGAGGAGAGGCTGAGGGAGCTGGGATTGTTTAGCCTGCAGAAGAGAAGAATGAGGGGGGATTTGATAGCTGCTTTCAGCTACCTGAAAGGGGGTTCCAAAGAGGATGGCTCTAGACTGTTCTCAATGGTAGCAGATGACAGAACGAGGAGTAATGGTCTCAAGCTGCAGTGGGGGAGGTTTAGATTGGATATTAGGAAAAACTTTTTCACTAAGAGGGTGGTGAAACACTGGAATGCGTTACCTAGGGAGGTGGTAGAATCTCCTTCCTTAGAGGTTTTTAAGGTCAGGCTTGACAAAGCCCTGGCTGGGATGATTTAACTGGGAATTGGTCCTGCTTCGAGCAGGGGGTTGGACTAGATGACCTTCTGGGGTCCCTTCCAACCCTTATATTCTATGATTCTATGATTCTATGATATTGACACCATCTCTTCTGTGCAAGTTAAACGGGGTTGAAATGAACCTCTTGGGCCTCTCTGTTCACAGCTACCCACTGCAAGGTGTGCTGTCCAGGAGAGGAGGGGAGGAACAGCAGTAAAAACCTGGCCCCATTGGGTATGTAGGCAGCAGGAGGTGTTTCAGGTGAGAGGAAGGGTCCTGCCCATGGCTGAGCCAGCCTGAGCCTGTGATCACATGTTCTGCTCACCTGGGCTGCACAGACCCCTGGTTCATCCTGCCCCTTTCCTTACATCAGTGATTTAAAGCAGAGCCCTTACTGCTTGGAGATCTCACCTAGCTCAGGGAGCATTAGAGCTTACACCTGCTGTGGGCCAGTCCCCTCTGCTGGCTTTCCCTGGTCTCTCACATCAGACATAGGCTGCTTGTCTTCACCGTCACGGCCTGTCCCCACCCTACCGATCATCTCTCACTTGCTATCTATGTATCAGCTTCTAACTCCCGTCAGCCCATGAAGTCAGCCACTGTTGACCACCTGTTTAATTTTCAAACAGGCACCTTCATGCTTTTTTCCATGCTGCTCCTCATGCCTGGGAGGAGCTCATAAACAGCCACAAAGCTATCTCACCCTCCTCCAAATCCCTCCTCAAAACTCTCCTTTGCTGTGATGGCCACAAAAAACGTGACAGCAGTGACCACAGCCCATCATGCTGATCTGTATTTCCTTGGGTCCTTGGACTCCCCCATCTGTCTGTATCCGTCTGCTGTCTCTTGTCTTATAGTTAGATTGCACGTTCTTTGCAGCAGGGATCGTCTTTGTTCTGTGTTTGCACCATGCCTAGCACAATAGAGTCCTCCTGGTCCAGGACTGAGAGCTCTGAGGTTCTTTGATAACACAGATAATTAATGGTACATTTTGTCCATTAAATAGAGTGGCTGTTTATTTAAAATAAAGAAAAGTGCCTACAGTTATACACCAGACTTCTTCATTGGCTGATGCTGCCAAATTGGAGGGAAATCAGAGAAGAGCAAAAAAAATTAGAGAGAGACTGACTTGTAAGGAAAGGCTAAAAGAACGAAATGTGTCCAAATGATGGTGATGGGAGGGTTGTAATAAACATCCCTCTGTAGGTGAAGGGAGCAAAACAATCATGGGAAGGAGAATGGGGGAACCAAGGGGGTAGGAGAAGGATGGAATTAAACCCAGCCAAATAACAAAAATCCCACTTTGAATGAATCTGAGGGAAAACTCAGTAAGATGTGTGGTATCTGGCTGTGCAGTGGTCTCCCAAGGGACGTGTTGGAAACCTCACTGCACTGCTTGGGACAGTTAAAACTCAGCTGCACAAAGCATTCAGGAATCCATGCAAATTCTTCTTTGGCAAGGGGTGGACTATGGGCTTGGTCTTGCAACAAGCTGACCACTCTGGATGCCCTTAAGTGCCTAGTTAATTGTAAGCCCATAAATAGCCCCATTGAAGTCAAACTTTAAAACTTTTTATAGAGATGATTCTTCTGAAAATAGTAGGTAAGTAAATCCACTTGATGTGACTTTAAATCAAAGCTTAATTATATGTCATAAAGGCTAGCGTGATGGTGATACTGGGCTCAAATTCCGACCTGTTCTGCCGTGTACATCTCAAGAGACTCTTGTGTAAGTCAGTGCAGTTACTCCAGGGTTGTGCTGGTGTAAGGAGAGCAGAATGCACAGACTGAAGGAGATGTGACTATCCCAGATCTTGCTAGCTTCAGCCCTTGCACTCTGAACTGCTAACGTGTAACTCCCTCTACTGGCGGCTCCGCTACAATTCAGTATACGTGGGAGTCTGCTTGAGCAGTAGGCGCCAAGCGTTAGACCCCAAAACACCTGTGCATAGAGGTTGCCTCCCTGAATGAGGGAGGCAACCTAGTGACAGAGGATGTGGAAAAAGCTAATGTACTCAATGCTTTTTTTGCCTCTGTCTTCACTAACAAGGTCAGCTCCCAGACTGCTACGCTGGGCATCACAAAATGGGGAAGAGATGGCCAGCCCTCTGTGGAGATAGAGGTGGTTAGGGACTATTTAGAAAAGCTGGACGTGCATAAGTCCATGGGGCCGGACGAGTTGCATCCGAGAGTGCTGAAGGAATTGGCGGCTGTGATTGCAGAGCCATTGGCCATTATCTTTGAAAACTCGTGGCGAACGGGGGAAGTCCCGGATGACTGGAAAAAGGCTAATGTAGTGCCAATCTTTAAAAAAGGGAAGAAGGAGGATCCTGGGAACTACAGGCCAGTCAGCTTCACCTCAGTCCCTGGAAAAATCATGGAGCAGGTCCTCAAAGAATCAATCCTGAAGCACTTGCATGAGAGGAAAGTGATCAGGAACAGCCAGCATGGATTCACCAAGGGAAGGTCATGCCTGACTAATCTAATCGCCTTCTATGATGAGATTACTGGTTCTGTGGATGAAGGGAAAGCAATGGATGTATTGTTTCTTGACTTTAGCAAAGCTTTTGACACGGTCTCCCACAGTATTCTTGTCAGCAAGTTAAGGAAGTATGGGCTGGATGAATGCACTATAAGGTGGGTAGAAAGCTGGCTAGATTGTCGGGCTCAACGGGTAGTGATCAATGGCTCCATGTCTAGTTGGCAGCCGGTGTCAAGTGGAGTGCCCCAGGGGTCGGTCCTGGGGCCGGTTTTGTTCAATATCTTCATAAATGATCTGGAGGATGGTGTAGATTGCACTCTCAGCAAATTTGCGGATGATACTAAACTGGGAGGAGTGGTAGATACGCTGGAGGGGAGGGATAGGATACAGAAGGACCTAGACAAATTGGAGGATTGGGCCAAAAGAAATCTGATGAGGTTCAATAAGGATAAATGCAGGGTCCTGCACTTAGGACGGAAGAACCCAATGCACCGCTACAGACTAGGGGCCGAATGGCTAGGCAGCAGTTCTGCGGAAAAGGACCTAGGGGTGACAGTGGACGAGAAGCTGGATATGAGTCAGCAGTGTGCCCTTGTTGCCAAGAAGGCCAATGGCATTTTGGGATGTATAAGTAGGGGCATAGCGAGCAGATCGAGGGACGTGATCGTTCCCCTCTATTCGACATTGGTGAGGCCTCATTTGGAGTACTGTGTCCAGTTTTGGGCCCCTCACTACAAGAAGGATGTGGATAAATTGGAGAGAGTCCAGCGAAGGGCAACAAAAATGATTAGGGGTCTAGAACACATGAGTTATGAGGAGAGGCTGAGGGAGCTGGGATTGTTTTGTCTGCAGAAGAGAAGAATGAGGGGGGATTTGATAGCTGCTTTCAACTACCTGAAAGGGGGTTCCAAAGAGGATGGCTCTAGACTGTTCTCAATGGTAGCAGATGACAGAACGAGGAGTAATGGTCTCAAGCTGCAGTGGGGGAGGTTTAGATTGGATATTAGGAAAAACTTTTTCACTAAGAGGGTGGTAAAACACTGGAATGCGTTACCTAGGGAGGTGGTAGAATCTCCTTCCTTAGAGGTTTTTAAGGTCAGGCTTGACAAAGCCCTGGCTGGGATGATTTAACTGGGAATTGGTCCTGCTTCGAGCAGGGGGTTGGACTAGATGACCTTCTGGGGTCCCTTCCAACCCTGATATTCTATGATTCTATGATTCATGCATGCGGTCCTGCAGTGACTGTGCAGAGCCAGGTCCTATGCTGTATTCAGAGCAGTCTGGAGGCTGCTGTAAATTAGGCCACACCGCAATAGCCACAAGAGGCTGAGAACACAGCTGAGTCTCTGCATAGTGCAGGGACACCCCAGCCACACCCACTTTCCACTCTCCCTGGCAGCAGGAAGGGTGTCTGCTGTCAGAGCCCTTCGGTTGGCTCCAAGCCACTGCAGAGCACCCACACATGGAGCTGATCCTCCTGGGAGGAGCAAGCCAGCTTTATGGCTGGAGTCAGTCAGGGGGTGCAGCGCTGCCAACCCAAGTGCCCAAAGGGTACGTTTACTCAACTGGCTCGGGCTGCGGGGCTGTAAGATTTCTGTGTAGGCAGCCTGAGTCCGAGCTATGGGAGCCCATAACCCTGTGAGCCTGAGTCAGCTAATCTGGGCCAGCCGTGGCCGTGTGTCGGGCCTTTTATTCCAGTGTGGACATACCCAAACAGCACAAGACTGGCTTTAAAACTGAGATTTTTTAAACTAAGAAATGTTGGGTGGTTTTTATTTGCTTTCTGGGTTTTGATCCTTTTTGTCTTTCCACTGTAAATCACTCAATCCCACCTTTGTGGGTCAGATGTCCAGATATGTGTGTTCAACTTTTCGCTGCAACCACCCGAGCTAGAAACTTACTTTTAAAAAATGCAAGCTGAGATTCTCACCTAATTTCTTGACTAAAGGAGCTGGGGCTTTTAGAAAAATTGCACATACCACAACAGTTAATAACATAGGTCTTGCCCCATCTCCAGATGCTTCACAGGGAATGAATAGAACAGGATAACTTTGAGTGATCCATCCCCTCTCATCCAGTCCCAGCTTCTAGCAGTTGGAGGTTTAGGGATACCCGGAGCATGGGGTCACATCCCTGACCATCTTGGCTAATAGCCATTGATGGACCTAACCTCCATGAACTTATCTAATTATTTTTTTAACCCAGCTATACTTTTGGCCTTCATAACATCCCCTGACAATGAGTTCCACAAGTTGACTGTCTGTTATATGAAGAAGTACTTCCTTTTGTTTGTTTTAAACCTGCTGCCTATTAATTTCATTGAGTGACCCCTGGTTCTTGTGTCATGAGAAGGGGTAAATAACCTCTCTTCATGGTGAAAACTGACCATTTATTCCTACCCTTTGTTTCCTATCTTTTAACCAGTTACTGATCCATTAGAGGATCTTTCCTCTTATCCCATGACTGTTTAGTTTGCTTAAGAGCCTTTGGTGAGGGATTTTGTCAAAGGCTTTCTGAAAGTCCAAGTACACTGTATCCACTGGATCAGCTTTGTTCACATATTTATTGACCCCCTCAAAGAATTCTAATAGATGGGTGAGGCATGATTTCCATTTACAAAAGCCATGTTGACTTTTCCCCATCATATTGTGTTTATCTATGTGTCTGATAATTCTGCTCTTTATGATAGTTTCAACCAATTTGCCTGGTACAGAAGTCAGGCTTACTGGCCTCTAATTGCCAGGATCGCCTCTGGAACCTTTCTTTAAAAATAGGCATTACATTAGCTACCCTCCAGTCACCTGGTACAGAGGCTGATTTAAATGATAGGTTACACACCAGTTAGTTCTGCGATTTAATATTTGAGTTCCTTTAGAAGTTTTGGGTGAATACCATCTGGTGATGTATTACTGTTTAATTTACCAATTCATTCCAAAACCTCCTCTACTGACATCTCAATCTGGGACACGTCCTCAGATTTGTCACCTAGAAAGAATGGCTCAGGTGTGGGAATCTCCCCCACATCCTCTGCAATGAAGACTGATGCAAATAATTCATTTAGCTTCTCAGCAACAGCTTTGTCTTCCTGGAGCGCTCCTTTGGCCCCTTTTCCACCCAGTAGCCCTGCTTACTGTTTGGCAGGCTTCCTGCTTCTGAGAGACTTAAAAAACATTTTGCTGTTACTTTTTGTGTCCTTAGATAGATGCTCTTCAAATTCTTTCTTAGCCTGCTTTATTACACTTTTACATTTGACTTGCCAGAATTTATGTTCCTTTATATTTTCCTCAGTAGGATTTGGTTTCCAATTTTTAAAGGATGCTTTTTTGCCTTTAAGTGCCTCTTTCACGCTGCATCTTTGGTCTTCTTACTGTTTGTTTGTTTGTAATTGTGGAGTATCCATTTAGTTTGAGCCTCTAATATGGTGTTTTTAAATAGTCTCCATGCAATTTCCAGGCATTTCACCCTTGTGACTGCTTCTTTTAATTTCCATTTAAATTGCTTTTTTATTTTTGTATAGTTCAGGGAATTTAAGCTATGCACATTGATAACCAACACCACTATATACTCACATTGCTGCAACCCTTCTCTCTTCCCCCAGTATTCAGTACCTTCCCTTGTGAAGTCTTGATAAAGGGCCCAATCCTGCAAACCTGTGTTCATGGGGTTATTTATGGGAATAAGGGGGTTGCAGAAGTGGCCCCTTTGCACCCAATTCTATTCCCATTTCAGTCAGTAGGAAAGTTCCCACTGACTTCAGTAAGAGCATGATTGGGCCCTGGGGGTGCTACTACATGGCCAGAAAGGGTTAATCTCTGCTACCTTGCTGTACGCTACCTTTAATGCAGTGACTGCAGATTTTTACACAGATGTAGATTTGGCCTTTGGTCTCCTTTTTGCATGGAAGGCATCATGTACCCTATGTCAGCATGTAAATAACAATAAAATCCTGCCTGGCTATGTGAGGTTTCCACATCCACACCTCTGGCAAATAAGGTTTGAGTTTAACCCTGTAATGATGGCTGTGATGATCTATACATTCCTGTGACTACCTTGTGCCATCCAGATCTGGCTTCCTACTCCATTTTCTACCAATCCAACTCAGGCCTGCAGAGCAAGGGTGAATAGCATCACAAGAGGCAGTAATGTATCTGCAGCTGAAACCACAGAAGCAAACCAGGAAATGCAGCATTTGCTTATTTCTCAAACCCTATTCTGAACTGGTACAGCTAGGAGCACAATTTATGATGCTAATTATCAGGCATTTCCATTCTGTTGGGGTGTTCTTTATTCACAATGATCTGGAAAAGTTCAGGATGTTTATGTGTCACTAGGTAGCATCAAACGATGCTTGGATGAGTTATTAGTGGAGAGAGATGTGCCTAAAGTGATCCCAGATCTATTTCCTCCTCCTTAAAACTCTCCTCTGCTGTCAGCTTATGACCAGCTAGCAGTGAGTAGGCAGGTGGTGCGATGAGACTGCTGCTTATCATGGATAACTTCTTGCTCATGTCACAGTTACTTCATCTTCCCTCTTTTCCCCACCTCTACTCCCTATTTGTTTATCTCATCTACCTGTTGGTTCTGATTACCAAGACTACTAGCTCGTCGTGGCTGACCTTTTATTGTATGCCTATGCAGCGCCTAGCATAATGAGGCCTTGATTCTTGATTGGTTCCCCTGGATGGTAATAGAATATAGATAATACAGGTGATGACATCATAATACCCTGAGTGACATCACCCCTGAAGCAATGATGTCACATTGCAGAAGCAAGCACTTCTTTATCAAGATTCCACGGCAGAAAAGCTCTGTGCCAACCTACTCAGCAAGGTGTTCCTCCCAGTGGCTTTCTAGGAGTAAGTCACAAGCCCACTATGGGATCGGGGCTGAATTTTGGGATGGGAAATAGTGAAGATCCTGTATAGGCTACACATGCCATACAATGGAGGCGGGAAAGCCCTGGTAGGGGCTATTTGGGATCAAGCCCAAAAAGGAGGGGTTGGGGGAAGGCTGTTTAGAAGGGAGATAGGTCCCCTGGTGATGTTGGCCTTGACTGGAGTGATGAAATGGTTCAGATTTCGGGATAAATTGCTACATACACCTTGTCTTGTGTTCACCCTCCTCCTTTTTCCGCAGAGGAAGTGAGCTGAGCAGTGCCTGCAGAGAGAATGCTTCGTTTGATCAGGACTAGACTGAGTGCCAGCTGGTGGAGGCAACTTTGGGCACAAGCTCTGGCTACGCCCCACTTCAGGTAGAGTAAACTGAGCTCAATTTATGAGTACAGCTGGCGGATTTGAAATCTTTACACCGTGACTTGAGGAGTTCAGTAACTCAGCCAGAAGTGAGGGGTCCATCACAGCAGTGGGTGGGTGAGGTTCTGTGGCCTGCCATGAGCAGGAGGCCAGACTAGATCATGATGCTCCCGTCAGGCCATAACGTCTATGAGTCTCTGTCCTTGCGCCATAGCTAAAATGCAGTAACTCCCTTCGTGGAGCCTGGCCCTGGGGGCAGCGCCAGGGATTCTTCGCCCCCTCTTGCCCTTTCCAGCACAGCTGGGCGGGGATGGAGAGGAGACGAGGAGGGAGCAGGCTGACCCATTGTTTGTATGTGTGTGTGGGGGGGGGGGGGAGAAGCAGGCTGACCCATTGTTTTCAGGGGGAGGGGGGACCAGGCTGACCCATTGTTTTCACAGGGAGAAGGGAGCAGGCTGACCCATTGTTTGTGTGTGGGGAGGGAATTAGGCTGACCCATTGTTTTCACAGGGAGAGGGGAGCAGGCTGACCCATTGTTTGTGTGTCTGGGTGGGGGGAAGTAGGCTGACCCATTGTTTTCAGGGGGAGGAGGGAGCAGACTGACCCATTGTTTGTGGGGGGGGGAGCAGGCTAATCCATTATTTGTGGGGGAGGGAGCAGGCTCACCCATTGTTTTGGGGGCGTAGAGGGGGGAGAAGCAGGCTGACCCATTATTTGTGAGGGGGGGAGAGCAAGCTGACCCATTGTTTTCAGGGGGAGGGGGGAGCAGACTGACCCATTGTTTGGGGGGGGGAGCAGGCTAATCCATTATTTTTGGGGAAGGGAACAGGCTGACCCATTGTTTGCAGGAGGGAGGGGGGAGCAGACTGACCCATTGTTTACAGAAGCAGAGGGGGGAGCAGGCTGATCCATTGTTCACAACATAGAACAAACCGATATGTTCCCCCTTATTCTTATAAAGGACAAAGAAACAAACGTGCCCATAACTTCCATCAAAATCAGTGGGAGCAGGATTGGACCCAAAACTACACACAAAAATAATCATCCAGTTTGCTTAATTACAGCCTATTTTCTTCAAAGCTGGCTAGCGCCGCACTCCAAGGAGCTGTAACTCGACCGTGAGGGTCCAGGGGCCAAACCAGAACAAAAAAAATTAAGAGAAGTCAGAGCTTCACCTCAGGGCACTTTAAAGCTCTGTAACTCAAAGACAGGTTGACAAGTTTTCTTCAAGGTGTGTAGAAACATTCTCCTTTGACTTTGGACGGTATCTGGCAGGTATCAGATCAAACTTATAAGACAAAGTTAAAGGAGGGCTTTATGGAAGCTGTTTCTAGCTAACACTTCAAATATCGAAGTATTTTTGGTGTGCCCAGCACCATAATACCTATGCAGCAAGACAGATGGAGTTAGATTCTAGAGGTATGTCTTCATTGCGCCCCCCCCACCCCTCCAAAAATATGTGTGCTTAACCCAGGTTAGCTTGCTGGACTAAAATAGCAGTGAAGACATGGCAACTCTGTGTTTAACCCAGTTAGCAGGTCAAGTCAACCCCAGGCTCCCCTATCGGCTTTAACTCGAGTGGCTAACTCAAGTTAAAAGCCAAATTACTGTGCTTCACTGCTGTTTTATCCTGGGTTACCTAACCTGAGTTAAGAACATGCCCCCCCCTTTTTTTTTAAAGCAAAGACGTACCCTAAAAAGCCAACTCCAGTGCTAGTTCCCAAGATCCATATCTGTTTGGGGAGCCTGAATAGTTAATTACTCTTACTAAATAAACTCCCGTCTGCCTGTTTTCCCCAATAAAGTACCAGCTGGCGAAAGAACCTAAAATACTGCTTTTGTGCAAAATCCCTGGTAGTCAAGATGGAGATCGGAGATGCCATTGAAGCAGATTCCTTTTACAGTTTTCCAGGTGGTCTCTCGGGCTTTCTTTAAAGGTGCTGTGCCGTGACCATCAAACCGCAGACACATGCCTTCCACTGCTGACAGTCACCCAAGTAAATGCTTGTGACTGATGGTGAAAATTGCACTTGCATGATGTCACAGCAATTTTGTTCTTTTCCCCAGACTGACATCGCCTCCATACTATATAACACATCAAAAAGGGAGATACTCAAATAAAGCGAACAAGGTAAGTCACACTGCTTGTATAATTTTGCTTTGAAAGCCTTGGGAAGTGGCTGCAGGTCTGCGCTCAGTGCTTTGTCCCGGACTGTGTTAATGACTGATGTTGAGACTGCCACTGTCCCCAGGGGGGACTCCTCCGTACTTCATAGATACTGTGGGCCTGATTCTCAGCTCACTCCTCTCCCATTGACTTCAGCTGGGCGTGGCAATCAGATCTGGTCAGCCTCAGAGGCAGTGAATAGCATTGGCATATAAAAAAATAAAGCACCAAAGAAGAAAATAAAGTGATGCCTGATGCTGCTTCTGCTGGCTCTAGGGTAACACAGCGGGTATGGTACTGTAATGGTGCCAAACCACACAAGCGTGGAGGCCTGACGTCTAATGAGATTCACGTTGTGTTTGAGGCAAGTGTGTGAATAAGAACTGGGAGGAAAATCTGAAAAGCAGCTCAATTCTTAACAGCCTCCCCGTCTGCTGCACAATGACAGTAAAGGGGGCTCTTGGCAGCCTCTCCCAAGAGGCCACACTGCAGAGTGACAATATGCCCAGCCAATGAAACACGAGGTGGAAGCATGACATCATCAGAACAGCTGTCCGTGATCTTGAGAGCTCTGAGCCTTTGAGAACAGGCGGAACCTCTCTGTGGGAGTTGGGTGCACCACAGTCCCGAGAGCTCCGCAAAGGCAAAAATACCCTCTTCACTTACGCACATTTTCACTGTGCTTCTCAGCATGTCCTGCAGGGTGCCATGGTTCTGCAGTCAGCACAGGAGCGGTTCTCCTCCTGGACTCCCCACCTCTGAGCTGTGCAGAAAGCATACCATGAACTTCCCTCTCCTAGTATCACTCCGCTCTGCAGGGCTCATGTGTGTAAGAGCTCTTGTTATCATCTGTCTCCTCCAGGAATCCACATCCTTTGTCATGAACCTGTTCAACGGGAAGCTTATACCTGACAATGTTTTTCCTTTTCCCGCAGGTAGGATATTTTTATTTAAAATTTCCTTATGGATTTAGTGCTGATGGTGACCTTTGCTGGTTTAATGGCATAGCAGAGCAAAGCCACCAAAGTCACAGAACACAGGCCATGTGCTCCTCCCACCTCCAGCGAGAGGCTAGCTGAGTTTCCATGGAGCTCTCGGGCTCAGTCTGCTGACCAGACAGGGCCATCCCTACCCATACGCAAAGTATGCAGCTGCGTAGGACACCTGCACTGCTGCGTCCTGCTCTAGCCCCCCTCCACCTCTTCCCCAAGACCCCTGCCCTCCCACCCCTTCCCCAAAGCCCCCGCCCCTGTTCGCCCCCCCGCCCTTCCTGCCCCAGCCCCGCCCCATTCCACCCCTTCCCCAAAGCCCCCGCCCCTGTTCGCCCCCCCGCCCCTTCCTGCCCCAGCCCCGCCCCATTCCACCCCTTCCCCAAAGCCCCCGCCCCTGTTTGCCCCCCCGCCCCTTCCTGCCCCAGCCCTGCCCCATTCCACCCCTTCTGGACTACAGCAGATCTCTTAGACAAACATCCAGTCTTAGAAGGTGCCTCCTCACATAAGGGTGTTTGTGTCAAATCATGTAATAAAGTGATGAGGGTTAGACACATCCTGCTAATCTAGCTGTAACTTTGCCCCTCCCTAGTGCTCTCAATGGAGCAGATGCAGTTCCTGCAAGCCCTGGTAGATCCCTGCACCCGCTTCTTCAAGGTTAGTGGCAGTCTGCTGCCTGTTTGATTACGGAATAGCCTGAAGTGTGTGTTGTAAACAAAGGAAAAGGACTCCGTCTTCCTCAGACAGTGATGTGGGACGGCTGGCCTCACCACCATTAAAAAAATTACTTCTCCTGGCGAATCTACCCTCTTTCTGAAGCCTGGAGGATGCACAAGTGCACATCCACGTTCTCCTCCTGATTGTGATTTCCTGAGTGCCGCTAATGCCCATGTCTCATACAACGCGCCACCAGTCTGTCAGACCGAGGCGTGGGTTACCTGTTTGGGTGTTGGCAGTGAAGGAGTTCATGTGGGAGGCCTTTCCGCAGGGATATTTGAAAGACAGGGTGGCTCTGCGAGGCCTGGCCCTCCCCAGAGATAGAGAACAGGCTTGGAGGGAGGGAGCGTGGGGCAGAGGCAGAGGGGAAGGGCAATCAGGTCATAGATCGCTCACTCCGAGGCTTACCCCCCCACACACACACACTGACCCTCGGGCTCACTCGCACAGCAACAGCAGGACACTAACACACCAGTGCCCAGATTGCCTGCTCTAGGATCCAGCAGCTCCTTGGTGCCCGGTAGGCAATGCGTAAACGTCGACTTTGCCGGCCCCTCCGGCCTTGCCCCATGCAGCGTTCGCCTCGGCGTTGCACCTGCCTTTCACTCGCTCCCTTTCGTTACTTGAAGGAGGTCAATGATCCTGTGGAGAACGAGAAGCTGGAGAGCATTGAGAAGACCACCCTGGCAGGGCTGAAGGAGATGGGAGCCTTTGGGCTGCAGGTGCCTGAGGAGCTGGGGGGAGTTGGGCTGACAAACACCCAGGTAAGACAGAGCCTTGGGGGTGCAGGCATGACGGGACAGTAGGGGCCGGGATCTGAACTCGCCCTGAGGTCGGGTGTTTGGAGCCAGTGTCTGGCTCAGGCCTGTGATGGGGGGGCCAGGCATGGAACTCAGATCCAGCCTCCCCTGGGTTTGACTCGGAGCGTGAGAGCTGTCCTGACCTGGCGGGCAGGTGGGCCCGTTCTCTCTTCTCGCGGCCCCTCCCCCACTGTAACATGGTAGAGTCACTTCCTGGAGGAGGTCGGGAGCAGAGAAGAGCGGGGCCGTGATTCAGAGGCGAAGGGGCAGTGCTTACTTTGTGCCAGAGCCTGGCAGTTCAGAGCCCAGCCCCGCTGGACTTGCTGCATCAGGTATGAAAGTAAAAAGTTGCTGGATCCCAGGCACCTCTTTCATTCCGAATGAAGCCCTGCCTGGGGAGCATGGCCGTGCTCAGCCTGACGCTGAAGTGCGTGACGTTCCATTCCTGTGGTCCTGTGCACCGGGCATATGAATCCAGCTTGCTGCGTGCTCTCAGTCCCCAGTGAGCCACAGACAGCTACGTGTCAGTTTGTGCGGACAAGCTTCACCTCCCTATGCAGCATCCAAGCTCTACCAGGGTTTAGTTGTAACAGCACAGAAAAGACGGTCAGCCAGTTTGTACCCACCTTGCCTAACCCTCTGGAAGATCTGAGAGCTCTGAAGCCACGTCACCTGTCAGCCCCACACAGACCAGGGCTGTCCCTACAGGCAGTAGACCAACAGTCACTGGAAAGCCTCCAGCTGCTGTGCTGAGCTCCACCAATCCCTCCAGCTAGGTTTTTATCCTGTGCCCGTTATAGTAGCTATGGAGTGTGAAAATATCACCTGAATAGTTCAGAGGTGAGGCAGTGTGGGATAGGGAACCAGCATGGGAGCTGGGAGAACCAGATTCTGTTCCCAGACCTGGTTTCCTCTTGCTATATGACAGTAGTGTAGTCACTTCCCTGAGTCTTGCTTTCTAGTAATTCCATCAATAAATATTCATTACCATCAATTCTGCAGTAGCGCATGGCTGGGTGTTGCTCGGCCAAACAGTCAGAGGCAGTCCCTAAATAGACAAGACAGACACAGTGGTAGACAGATGATGTATCAGTAACATCTCCAATGTGCATATCTCGCTAGGTGTGGGTTTTCTTTTTCCTCTTTTAAAAAGTTCTACCCAAACCTTCTCCTACCTCCTCCCCTCTGCCCTTGTGAGCCAGACACAGAGCGGGGCAGGGATCAGCCAGCTGAATGGGCCTGAGAGTGTCTGAAGGCTCCTGATGACTGGTCTGTGCCCCCAGTGTCCTGCATTGGGCCCTGGCAGGGGTGATTAGGAGGAGCAGATGGGAGCAGTGTTAATATTAGTGTTGATGTGGAGTGTTTGCTAGTCCCCAGAAGCTGTAGTATCTGAAGGTCAAACTGGGCAGCGGTTCCAACCTAATCCCCGTCCCCACCATTTCTCTTTTGCTTTCCCTTTAGTATGCTCGGATGGTGGAGGTGGTTGGAGTGCACGACCTTGGTGTGGGCATAAGCCTTGGTGCTCATCAGTCAATCGGCTTTAAGGGAATCCTGCTCTTCGGGACCCAGAGTCAGAAGGAGAAATACCTGCCCAAGCTAGCATCTGGTAGGAAACAGGGCCTGTTTTCTTCACTCTGTTGTGCCCTATGAAAGGTATAATGTAGATCTTTACCCACCCTCCTGGCTTCTTGCAGGTCTCCCAGACACTGCTCTGAGCTGGGCTTTCAGCACTCTGCTTGCAGGCTGTGGGGAGGGGTGGTGACGGCGGGCGGCTGACAGCAGTGGGGAGAGCTAGGTGTAGCACAGGCAAGCTCTGTGCAAGCTTCTCTGCACTGCTCTGCCAGTTCAGTGCAGAAGCCCTCAAGCCCCGTCAGAGCACAGCCTTCGAGCTCACACTGCAGGCTGGCATGTCGCTGTGCCAGCAGGGGATCTGCGGGATACCCAAGGCAAGGCACCGGCTGAGTTGCAGAAAAGTGCAGCTTTCTGTAGCTGTCTGTTTACATACGGCCAGCTGGTTGCCCTGGGGTGTGCATGGATGTACCCCACCCCATCCTCATCCCGCCCGACGTGCCTGCCTGCCATGGACTCACTCCCTGCTGTGTAGGTGGGGAGTCCTCAGGGCAGTGCGGGTCCTGGGCCCCCGGCAGAGCCCTGGCTGCGTGTGGGTTCTTTTGTGTTCTCTATGCTGTTAAAGTCTGTGCCATTGGTGACCGTTCTGCTCCCTTCTGCAGGAGAGACCATCGCTGCCTTCTGCCTAACGGAGCCGTCTAGTGGCTCAGACGCAGCATCTATTAAAACCCTCGCAGAGCTCAGCGAGTGTGGGAAATTCTACACGCTGAACGGCGGGAAAATATGGATCAGGTGAGAGAAGTCGGGAGGCTGAAAGGGTTCCTCGAGGTCCCATGAGAGCCGGGAGATTCTGCAGGCCCCGGTGACACAGGAAGCGTCCAAAGCCATCAGAGCTCTTGCTCAGCATAACAGCAGGAAATGCACTTCGACTGGAGCTCCCAAAGCCTGTGAGGTCCGGTCCAGGGTCCTCGGCAGGGGGGACGGGACGAATCCTGCAGCCTGGGCCCAGCCCTGCTTGGGGTCAGCCTCCTGTGGCTCCTCCAGTCGCTGGGGTTCAAGTGGGCCTGGGGAGGCTCTGAATCCCAGCACAGTCAAGGGCTGTAGCTGGCCCTCCGCAGGAGCTTCCCAGACAGGTCCTTGCCTACAGCCTCCAGCCCAGAACGAGCTGGGCTTCCTCCCTTTATATTGCTAGAGCATCTGGAGCATGCCCAGTCCCGCCGGGGAGGCAGGACTTCCGCTGTCAGTAATATGGACTTAACCCTGTCTGGGCTCGTGCGGAGTAAGCAGACCCCGTCACACCCTGGTACAGAGAGGCAGTTGTGGGCTTGGAAGGAGGAGGAGATGTGGGACTTCCCCAAACCTTATGGTGCAGAACTGGAGTGATGATTCAGAAGAGTAGTTTCTCACGTTGGTTGAACCAGCTCCCCTGCCCCTGCTGTTTAGGGTATAAGATGTTAGAGCATCCGTGATCAGGGCTAACTATAGTCCTGAGCCAAGATAGCATTTCAGTGCATGCTTAGGTCCCAGTGAATGAATCAGGATGTTTTCCTGTGGCCCAAGGAGAGGCAGTGTGGTAGAGTGTACTGAGCACCATGCTGGGAGTGAGGCGCTCCTGAGTTCTAGCCCCCATTCTGCCACTGAGTCCCTGTATGGCCTTGGGCAAGTCCCTTGTCTTTCTAGGTCACGTTCTAAGGTATGTAATGGGTGGTTCCAGCTGTATGTCAGTAATCAGGTGTCAGGGAAAGTTACGGTGAGGGGGTGGAAGAGCAGGTTTATATCAGGGAAGACAGCCAGCAGGAAGGTATAACAAGGTCTTAGCTAAAAGAAAGGGACTCGACTTTACCTTACCCATCCCTGGCTCCTTTTCCTGCTACAGCCTTCTCCTTCTGCCCCATAGGCCTGGTCCACACACAGGTTTGGCACTAGTATAACTTTGTCAGGTAGGGGTGTGACTTTTTACCGAATTGCTCACACTGGTACAACCTCTGGTATGCACTCAACTCTATTGGTATAAAGGGTCCGTATGGTGCTATAGCTTATTCCTCCTCCCATAGTGTCTGTACTAGGGGCATTGTATCACTTTAACTAGACCGGTGTGGGTAAAGCACGACAACTTGTGTATATATGCAAGCCTTAGTGTGTGGGATGCACTCATTCAACCAGGGTGTGTAATTTATGCACCATCTGCCTCACCTCTGAATTGTCTCTGGATAATGCAGTCTAATTACCTCCCTCTAAGGAGGAGAGGAAGATGAATTATTGTTTGTCTCTGACAGCATGAAGTGTTGTGCTAGGGCTAATTACACACAGGCTAGCTGCTGTTGTTATTAACTGCAGTAAAAAAGTGTGCGTAAACGGATGTAATGGAAAAAGGGAAATCACTGAGAGGGAAAGAGAAGAGCCTGAGTAAATACAGGTGGTCGGGAGCTGGGACTCACTGTTTCCCTAATCGCTTTGGGTTCCAGTAATGGAGGGATAGCTGAGATCTTCACAGTGTTCGCCAAGACCCCGGTAAAGCAGCCAACAGGGGAAGTGAAGGACAAAATCTCAGCCTTCATTGTGGAGAGAGCGTTTGGGGGCGTGACCAGGTGAGAGAAGTTTATAACTTAACAGGCACGGTTTGAGGAGATATTAAAAGGACTGGGACTGTTCAGCTTAGAAAAGAGACTCAGCAGGATATGATTGAGGTCTATAAAATCATGACTGGTGTGGAGACAGTGAATAGGAAAGTGTTACCCCTTCACATCTCACAAAAACCAGGAGTCACCCATGAAATTAACAGGCAGCAGGTTTAAAACAAAAGGAATTATTTCTTCACATGATACATAGTCAACCTATGAAACTCGTTGCCAGGGGACGTTGTGAAGGCCAAAACTATAACAGGGTTCAAAAAAGAACTAGATGAGTTCATGGAGGATAGCTCTATCAATGGCTACTATCAGAATGGAACCCGACGCGCTGAGTGTCACTAAACTTCTAATTGACAGAAGCTGGAACTGGGTGACAGGGGATGGATCACATGATAATTGCCAGATTCTGTTCATTCCCTCTGGGCACCTGGCATTGGTCACTTTCGGAAGACAGCATTTTGGGCTAGATGATCCTTTGGTCTGACCCACTATGGCAGCGGTTCTCAAACTGTGGGTCCGGACCCCAAAGTGAGTCGTGAGCCAATTTTAATGGGGTCACCAGGACTGTCTTAGACTTGCTGGGGCCTGGGGCCGAAGCCTGAGCCCCACCTCCTGGGGCTGCAGCCAAAGCCCATGGGCTTCAGCCCTGGACATTGGGGCTCAGATTACAGGCTCCCTGCCTGGGACTGAAGCCCTTGGGTTTTGTCCTGCCATCCCACCCAGGGCAGTGGGGCTCAGGTGGGCTCAGATTTCAGTCCCCCCTCCTGGGGTTGTGTAGTAACTTTTGTTGTCAGCAGGGGGTCGCGGTGCAATGAAGTTTGAGAACCCCTGCACTGTGGCCATTCTTATGCTCCTATGTCCTTATGTTTACAAGGCTCAGCCTAGGACTAAGATCCAGGAACCGTGTTTCCAGCACTGACTTGTTGTATGCTCTTCGGCAAGTCTCTTAACTGCTGTATGCCTTGATTCCCTTGTCGGTTCAAGGGTGATAGCAATACTTCCCTGCCACCCAAAAGTGGTGTTATCATTGGCCAGTTTGTGCACTTTTAACAACGAAAAGTGTAATAAATATTAAGTGTTGTTATTTATTGCTATTTTCCTCATTGCATTATGCTTTTCCAGGATGATGGGTAAACATCCTCCCCATAAAAAGACAAAAAGTGGAGGAATGTAGAAGGAAGAGAGACTGAGACATAAGGCCTTGTATCAGAGGCCTGGTATGAGGCCTGAGGCCTGGGCTAAAGGCTTTGCTAATATCAAGCAAAGTCAGGCTGTGAGCTAGAGGCAGGCCCTGCTCACAGACTCTGGCAAGAACAGGGCTGATATTGCCAAAACACACATTCCTAAGAGGTGCTGGGCACAGAGCACTTGCACGAACACATTCCAGAAGGGTGGTACCAGAACACCCCGATACCAACACATTCCCTAAAGGTAACAGCAGCACACTGACCCATCCTAAAGATAGGGTCAGGATGACAGTGTGATGGATAAAGACGTACAAGGTGATGGAGCGTAACCGTCTACGTCAGAAGGTGTCAACTAACTACCTCAGAGGGGCAGTACGTAACTTCTTTGTATTGATGTATACAATCACTGCCTTAAAGGGAGTGTCTTCCCCTGGCCGAGGGAGGAACAGAAAGTCCCGCCGTTCACTGAGCTGGTCCATTGTTACAGGCATACAAGTATTAGTGGTCCAGTAGAGTCTGTGGGATACTAGTACCATATCAACAATAAACCTGCTTGGGTGCCTTCGTACCTTAACAGATCTTGTGATGACTGGGCAGTTTGCTCAAGGTCTGCTGTGCCAGCTGTTTGCACAGAGCTGGGACAGCACACTAGGAGAACGCACACTCGCAGCCAAACATCTGACCACACCATCCTGCCATGCCAAATGCCATGCCTGATCCTGGAGGGACTCAGCACCTTGTAGGGTCAAGCACCATAGTGTGGGACTTTAACCAGGGATGCTATAATGATTATCCAGCTGTCTATCAGGTGCTGAAGTCCTTGGATCTGCTTTCCAGGCCTCCAGCCACAAGAGGGTGCTAGACCATTATGTTCACGCACCACTTTCACTTTCCATTTATAACAAAATATAATCCATGCTCCTTTAAACTTCCCTCTGCTGAGCGATTTGCTACAATGAGTATGACAAACATTAGGAGAGAAGTGTTGGCATTACCAGGGGCACAGTGCTTGAGATTATGCAGCTACATGGTCTGGCATAGGGTACAACGTTCCAGAGCCTTTAGAAATGGGCAATGGTTATTTAGTTTATGTTTAAACTGCTCCCTGTTTCTATATAAGACATTGTGTTAACATTTTATTGGCACACAGAATTACCACATGTAAATGTGCACCCACCTTTGCACACTGCCAGGTTTTATCACATGTAGATCAAATAACTTGGATCCTACCAGAAGCTGAGTCGCCTCAACTTCCATTGACTTCACTGTGAGTTCGAGGGCACTTGCCCCTTTGCAGGGTCAGGGCCAGGGTGCGCAGTTACCAGCACGCATGTGAGAATGCTCATTTGCAGGCACAAATGCAGAAACTGCACATGCAGATAGGTGTGCATGTCCGAAGGTCACAGCCAGGCTGAGGTCATCTCTCGTTTCCTTCTGTTTTGTCAGTGGCCCCCCGGAGAAGAAGATGGGGATCAAGTGCTCCAATACAGCTGAAGTGCACTTTGATAATGTGAAGGTGCCAGCAGAAAATCTGCTCGGGGAGCTTGGAAAAGGCTTCCTGGTCGCCATGAACATACTGAACAATGGGCGCTTTGGGATGGCCTCCGCCCTGGCAGGCACCATGCGTGGAGTGATTGTCAAAGCCGTACGTTCTTGTTCTTGAAACAGGATTAGATCACGCGGATGGTTTGTGCAGGGCAAGTGACAATGGACTGTCTACTTGTCCCACATGTTAGTGTTAGGGAAAAAGGGTTCCCCTCCCGTCTAGGGTTAGGAGGGTAGCCTTCCCTGGACTTCTGTATTAGCCAAACAAAACACAGAGTCTTGGCTCTTTGATAAAGTGAGGCACTTTATTGCTAGCAAATACGACAGCTGAAGGGCTCACCAATTCCTTTTCAGAGGAAAATGGTGAAGCCCCGAACAAAGAACAGGGATGAGCTTTTATAGCTTGGTTCAACATACATTGTGATATCTCTTCCAGTTCGAACCGGTTAACCCAGTCTGTTTGAAGTTCTGGGGTAGGTACGAGCATGGAGGCTTATCTGTATAAGGAATTCTCTTCCCAAAAGAAGGGAGTGCAGGTTACACACAGTTCACATTCTTTCTATCCATAAACAAAGTAGAAAGGACAGATAAGCATAGAAAAAAGACAGCAGCGTAGCTTTACATGATTATAGGGTCGTTTTCTGGGTTTTTTTTCCTATCATTAGCAGAGCGTAGTCAGTGAGACGCAAGGGTCAGTTATTCTGTGGGACATCCCCATGGGGGAATGGCTCTGGGAAACCCATGTTACATGTGTATCCAGAGAGAGAGATAGGAGCTGATGCTGGAAGAGCCAACAGGTCAAAGATCTGCATTTAGACAAATAGAATTACAGTGAAATGTCTGTGTTTAATTTTAAGCATATGTCTGGTCCTGATGGCTTCAGTGGGATTCTCCGCATGCTTGTAAGACGTGTCCAGATTTGGGGCCTTAGTTTACTTAGCTGCATATGTTGGTTAGTCTTTTAGACAGAAATTCTTCTTGTTCTCTCTTTTGTGTAATGGGATGAGATTGGGCTAAGGGCTGGGGTTTTGGGGCTGGAGTTAAGTTGATGGCCGAGCTTACAAGACCCTTAGAATTAACTTGGTGGTGTTTCTGGTTGGATGTAATGTGATACCTTTGGAACGCTGTATCCAATCAATTGCAAAATTTCAGAAATTTTTCTAGGCATCACTGGGCAGAAGCCTATTGATTTTGGTGGAAATTGGAAAACCCAAAAGGGGGAAATGGAATATACACAGAGCCTGTGGCCTGGGGGAGCGAATGGGAGGGTTGAAATGAGTCTCTGCACTAGAGGGGGTAGGAGGTGGCTCACAGGGATCTTGTGGGGATGGGAGAGATGCCAGGAGCCCCTGGGGTGTGCAGCAAGCTTGGCCGACACAAGCTACATAGGGCTTGACATCCTAGTATAGATATTCCTGTAAACATTTGCTAACTTGATTTTGTTTAAAATTGAAATATATGGTCAAATCCTGCAGCTTGGACACAGACTAAATTCCTCTTGTCTGTATTACATTAGCTTCTTGCTGTGATCATGGGTTCTTATGTAACACCAGGTTGATCATGCTGCTAATCGTAAGCAGTTTGGAGACAAGATCAGCAACTATGGGGCTATTCAGGAGAAAGTTGCACGGATGGCCATGCTGCACTATGTTACGGAGGTGAGAAATTCCTCTTAATTGCAGGATCAAGACCATGGTCAACAACTCCATTGTACAGGCACAGCAGAACTCTCAGGGTAAAGCTTGTCTGTTCAGGAGACAGGGCGTTCTGGGGGGCTGGTCCCACCCCAGACTGTGGAATGAAGTTTACCATGGACTAAGAACCATCCCACACCTCCCTGCTTCCTTCTCAAGCCCCAGGCACATTCTCTGACCTGCCTTCTCTGATATAAACACAGAGCAGTGTTGTCATATAAATAAACACAATGAAAAAACAAAACAGTCCACTGCACACCCAGTTCTCCCTCTGGGGAGTGGATGAGAGAAAGTGACCCACACTTGATATTAGATGTTATTTAATGCATAGGTGGATGGCGCTCAGATACTACAGTGATGCAGATGGTATAAAAATCTATATCAAATAGAACAGATTGTACCTGCTGCCATCCCAGTTTGTGCTGGTGTCATATCTCAGAGGCTGAGCTGGCAGGCTGGGTTGGTTCAGTGTTTGGATGAGACTTCCAGGTGGTGTTGGCAAATCACTGGGCAGCCCTCATTTCTCTGGGCTTGATTCTGTGCTTGCCTACACTGGTGTAAAGTGGGAGTCGTGCCATAAAGACTCTGGCATAAAGCTGGCCTGAAACCCATGTGCATTTGGGAAGAATCAGGCCCTCTGACTCTGAGCCAGTGCCCCAGAGTGGTATTGGGAGCCCTGTGCTGAGTTTTGGCAATGTTCCCATAGACCAGTTCATAGGACTGGAGCTGTGTTAACCTCAGCATCCCGGCCAAATTCCAGCGTGAGTAATTCCATGCTGCCCACAGCTCTGGCCCTTTAAAATTCCTCTTGTCCTGCGGATTGGAAGCAGCCTTGGGTTTAAAAAAAACAAGCAACCCCAATCCTCCCAACAAAACACCTCTTTCCTCTCCCATCCTGGCCAACCAATCCAGGAACTCACAATTCCAGGGAATCCACCCTGCAGGAGAGGAGGACTGTATCTCTCTCTGTCACCCACACAGCTTCCTCCCACTATTACCTGAAACATGCATTTTCCCCTAAAGGCTGTGGCCAGTTGCTGAGCTGTGCAGGAGCGGCTGTGCCCCCTCGGGCAGTTGTGTGCTCGCCGAGGGTGAAGCGGGCGGCAGGATGACTAGCAGCCGTCTCTGTTATGAGCTGGTTTAAGGTGGTTTTTATTGCAGCAGTGCCCAGCTGCCCCAGTCAGGATCCGGTCCCCTTGTGCATCTGAGCACTGGGAAAGGCCTGGTCCCTGCCCCAGCATTTACAGTCTAATTGGAAATGAGATAGAACAAATGAGCGTAACGACCCCTGGCGGTGTGTGGTGGGAGGGGGATGAGGCTAATGATGACAAGATCCCAGGGTTACACAGGTTTGAAATCCACTGCATCTTCCTGCCCCTCAGCTTGCCCTTCGCTGACTGTCTGGCTTCCTGTGTGCAGGGCAGGGAATTGGGCTGAGGGGGGATGAAAGGAGGAGAGGGTAGTGCCCTTATGAATCAGGTCAGGACGAGCCTTGTGCCTGCAGGGGACAGCATGGGAGGACTAGATTTTGAGATGGGACCTCTGATGGGCAGTGCCCGCTGCAGAAAAGAGGGAGAGGATGGAGCCGAGCCAAGCCAGGCCCTCCATACAGCATACCTTGGGGTGTGGGATGGTGTCTTTGGCACATACACCGTGTAACCAAAGGCAAATGGCTGGCTTCCCTGCAGTCGATGGCCTACGTGGTGAGCGCCAACATGGACATGAAGGTGCCCGATTACATGCTCGAAGCTGCAATCAGCAAGATTTTTGCCTCAGTAAGTGTGTTTGATTCCCAGCGCAAGATGTCTCCGCAAGGAGGGGTTAGAGCAAGCATGGCCTGTCAGAGTCGGGCTCATGCTGCCCCGTTGCTGAGCAGTAGCAGGTGTCAGGGCTTTGCTACGTCGGTGTCCCACTGGAAGGGAAAGGCGTGCTGCAGAGACAAGCTATTCTCTCCTCTCTGGTGGCACTGCATCCCAGGGATTGCACCCGCAGGAACCCCGCCTGAGGCATCAACCCTGGAGCCAGAGAGCAGCTCCCTCCCGGACTGCGATCGGCCTCTCCTGCTTCTAGCAGGCGGCTTGTTCCTGTCCCACCCTTCTCCTGGAAGATCCCTCCGCCCCAAACCACCCAGTTCTCATTGCGCTCTCACTGCTGGGCATGGACAATGCAAAGGGAGACTGCTCAGGCAGGTGTGACTAAGCAGTGTCCACTGGAGCTGGCTTTCCTACAAGTCTCTCTCCAGACCAGGCTGTTTCCCCCAGCACTGCCTGCATTGATTGCCCAGCTGCCGCCCCAGTCCCGTGCTGTTGCAGCCCCTGTGGAGTCAGCAGCAGAACCCGGCAGTTCGGTACCTGCAGTTCTTCGTTGAGTGATTGCACATGGCCAGGCCACGTCAGGTGTCTGCATGCCCAGCGTGCTGAAGCTGGAGAACTTTTTCCCTGAGTGGTACCTGTCAGGGCGGCACGTGCGACCTCTGCACGCTCATGCTACCAGCTGATGGTATAAAGGGGCAGAGCCACCCCAGCCCCCCTTCAGTTCCTCCTCACCACCCCATGGTCGGGAGGGGGCGCATGTGTGCCTGCTTGCACAAATCTTCCCTTTTCCTCTGAGCGAAGTGTGTAATTTGTTGTAAATAATTTGGTTCATTGGTTAGATAGTGGCTCATTTCCGTCCATTTTCTCTTGGCTTTTCAGACTTGTAGTTAGCCCTGTCGATGCGCAGTGCCAGGGCATGTCTCAGTCCCCAGGTGTTAAACAAAGTTCTGGCTCTAATAAGTCTCTGTCTGTCCGTGACTCTCACTACCAGTGGCTGAAGGGTTTGGGGGAGGGCCATGTTCGGGGTAGGTACCTGATTTGTAGTGGGTTCAGAATTAGGACCAAACCATTTCAGGAAGTGAAATTTTCTTGTGTTCTGATGCAAGCTAACTTGCGTCCTCCCTCCGAGCCCTGTTGCTTGGCACACAATCCTTGGGGCTCTACTTCCACCATGGGGTGACCTCCGGACGTCTCCGTTATCCCTCCTCAGAGAGGTTCAGAAGGGAGACATTGTTCTCCCTCCCCAGGGCCCCAGAAGAAGCTGAATCCTGTGACCCACATGCCTCTAAGCCTAACAGATCTTCCTCATCAAGGATCTCCCAGTCCCTGACCGGCCCTTCCAGGAGTCAGTCAGGTATGGACCAGCCCTGGCTACGTGCTCCTCAGTACCACATGCTTCCTTGGCAATATGTGTAGAGTCTTGGACTCTGGTACCATCCTCTGTACCATTGAGACCAACTCCTTGGCCTGGGCCATCTGTATTGTCTGCATACAGGTACATGGCATCCTCGACACCAACAACAGCCTGTACGCAGCAGCGAGAGACTTGCTTTGCCTTTTGATACCAGACTCCCCGATTGTACAAGAGCTAGAGTCATAGGTAGCAGCTATTTCTTCACAAGCTTTGGAGCTGTCTACATCGTCAGTGACGCACCATTCGATTCCAGCTTCAGCACGGCAAATGTCGGTACCTATGATGAGTAGCTGGAACTCAAACACTTGGTACATTCCCGGGGTCAGCCACCATGCTGTCCCACTACTGCCACATCCAGCCACAAGTCCCAGTCACCTGCACCATGGAGCACTGTGCCTCCAAGGAATCTTATGCATCCCAGTCCTGTTGTAGGAGATCTCATAATTCTCTATCCTCCTCGCAGAGATCCAGATCTTGGTACCCGGGCTCTCTCAGGGGCAGGTCTAGAGACAAGGGGCCAAGGGCTACTTTTCACTGGGGCCCCAGGACTTATCCATGGGCCCTCTGGAACCCATGGAGCATTCCATCCACTTTACGTACTTCTCCGAGACCTCAGTTGTCTAAGTCACCTCTGAGACAAGGAGAAATGTCTGGAGAAATGTCTTACGTACCTCAGGACCTGGTAGAGTAGCTCTACTGGTTAATTAAGCCATCTTGGAGCCTACAAAAATTATATGGCAAACACCAGGATCACTTCCTCCCACTGCCAAGAGAACAGAGAGCAGATACCAAGTGCCATTCCAAGGTCATGAACATTTCTATTCTCACCCTACCCTGGGCTCGGTGGTGAGTGTAGTCAATGATAAATCACGCCAAGGTCACGCCAAATCCACCTCAAAATAATGACTTCAAAAAACTCTTTTACTGCAAAATCTTTTTGGAAGAAACATTTATGCAATGTCAGGGTTACAGGTCGGGATAGCAAATCACCAGGCTCTCCTGGTCAGATACAGTTTCCCAGTCTCTGTTAACAGGCTAACTTTATTGACAAACTGCCAGAAGATGTTAGACAGGAATATTGAGTTGTGATTAACAAGGGTTGTCCAATCTTCCCATCATGCCATCTTGAATAGGCTGAGGCTAGAGTGATGGCATCTGTGCCTATGATGTGACACTCTTTGTGGCTGCAAGCATCTGGGATTCCAGCAGAGATCCAACTGACAATTGACGATCTCCCATTTAAAGGCCCTAATTTGTTTACAGGGAAAACCAATGAAACGCTGCATTCCCTAAAAGATTCTAGGGCAGCACTTAGATCGCTGGGAAGGAACGTTCAGGCACTTTCATCATCAGACAACCCAGTGGTGCCATTTTACCCTCGGAGGCAGCCTGATCAAGCAGAGATGACATAAATTCCACAGGATAAGGCTATCTCCTCCTCCATCTGCTTCAACTTCATCAAGACAGTGTTCAACCTCTAAGCAGCCTATTGGACTTCTTAGTCGAGGCCAAAGTACCACTGTGTCTGGATCTCATCTCTCCTATCACTCCCTTTGGCAGCAGGTTAGCCCACTTCCTAGCTGATTGGACCCATATTTCAGCCAGATACTGGATACTGAGCACTGTGGAATGAGGATATTCCCTGCAGTTTGTCTCTATTCCCCATACCTACCTACCCAGCCCCAGTCCCTTTTCAGGGGCCAATCTCACAAGGCTTTTCTTATCCAAGAAATACAGTCTGGTTTACAGTTGGGAGCCAAAGAGGTCTCTCCTTAACGCTGGGGGAAGGGATTCTGTTCCCATTATTTCTGAGAGAAGACTCAAACCTATTTTGGACCTGCAAAACCTAAACAAATACATAAAGAGATAACATTTCCCCTGGTAACTCTAGCCTCTGTTATCCATCTCTAGATCCCAATGACTGGTTTGCCACTCTCAGCTTGAATGATTTCCACAAGGCTATCCACCAGAGCTGCAGGAGAAAGGTTCATCATGGCTAACATTCATTATCCATTCACTGTCCTGCCTTTCAGTCCATCTTCAGCCCTGTGAGTCTTTTCAAAGTGCATGGCTATGGCGACAGTGCATCTCAGAAAGGCAGTTGTCCAGGAATTCCTGTACCTGGATGACTGGTTGATTCAGGGACGCTCCAGACATTAGGGGGAGGTTGGCATCAACAAGATCCAGAGACTCCTTCGTTCTGACAAGGTTAAGTGAGTTCTCACCCCTGTGTAGAAAATCGGGCTTATTGGGGCAGATCTAGACTCCACTTCGGCAAGCGCGCACTTGAGCCTGGCCAGAGTCCAAGCAAGACAGGACCTCTGTGCAGACCTCAGCGCCCATCCTTGCACAGCAGTAAGGAATCGCCTGAGACTTCTGGGGCACAGGGCAGCTGGCACATATGTGACTCAGCATGGCAGCCTTTTCACCACAGAGCCATGCAAGGCAGGTGGAGTCAATCTACTGACCATCTCATCACCCATTGGACGTGCTGACTCACGTACCTGCGAGCGGCTTGTCATCCCTAGATTGGTGGGTGTACTCTGCCAATGTATGCAAAGGGGTTCCTTTCTCCTCGACTCTGCCCTCCGTGACATTGGTCACAAATGCTTCATCCCTGGGGTGGGGATCCTACCTAGAAGACCATCAGACTCAGGGTCTTTGGTCAGATCAAGAACTCTCTTTCCACAGAAATGTTCTGGAACTACAAGCTATTCACTTGGCATGTCAAGCCTTCCTTCCACACCTCGAGGAATGTACAGTACCAGGTCCTCATGGACAACACTGCTGCTGTGTTCTGTGTGAACAGGCAGTGGAGTGCCAGGTGGGATCGCCTTTGCCCAGAGGCTGTAGATCTATGGGGGTTTGAGGGTTCCATCAAAAATACAATCACACTCAAAGCTTCACACCTACCAAGGTGTTCAGAACTGCCTGGCAGATTGTCTCTGCAGATCATTCAGCAGGGATCACAAGTGGTCCCTTAGAGCAGACATTGCAAGATCCATCTTTCAGTCGTGGGGGGTACCAGAAATCAATGTCTTGGTTACTCGTCTGAACAGGAAGTTTCAGAGGAACAGCCGTGTTAGTCTGTATTCGCAAAAAGAAAAGGAGTACTTGTGGCACCTTAGAAACTAACCAATTTATTTGAGCACCTGTTTTGTTCCAGAGCAAGTCACAGCCCAGGATCTATATCAGATGATTTCCTGTCGTCATGGAAGGACAAGCTACTAGATGCCTTTAATCCCGTCCCTCAGATTCCAAGAGTGTTATGCAAACTTGGGCAGGAGAACACCTTTATAATCCTCATCCGCAGCCATCCCTGTCGGTCTGAGGCCTTCCCCTTATCTCCTCAGTTATTCTCAAACCAAACACCCTCCCTCCCTCATTCCTTCTGGCCTTGCACCTCATTCTTTTCAAGGCCTTCCTTCTACATGCTAGTCAGGGCCTTTCTTCATATTACAGATATTTCCTTAACCAAACTTAAGGTAATGCTAACTCTTTAATGTCATATTTATCCTACAGCTTTTGCCGGCTCTAATGGTTCCACCTTTTGAGCCGATGGCTCCACATTCCTTGCTCCATCTCTCCATGAAAGCAGAATTCCTGGTGGCCAGTGCTTCTGCCAGCAGGGTAGCAGAGCGGCGTGCATTAGATGCTGACCCTCCAGATGTAGTTTGCAGATGAGGTTGATTTGCATCCTTACCCTACATTTCTGACCAAAGTTGTCTCGCACTTCCACCTTAATCAGGCTACCTACTTACTGAGCTTTTTTCTGAAACCTCGTAACGATGAGGAGGGCTCCATGCTTGGGATGTCCAAAAGGCGTTGGCTTGTTACTTGGACAAGACCAAACAATTTAGGCTGTTTCCTCAGCTGTTCATTTCTTTGTCTGCCAGACTGAAGGGTTACCCTGTCTGTGGGCAGAGAATTTCTTTCTGGATCTCGTCCTGCACCCTACTGTGCTCTGCCACGGCTAAGGCCCCTCTGCCCGGAAGAGTTTCAGTGCGTTCTACAAGAGCTCAAGCAGCGTGAGCTGCATTCCTGCATCAGGTGCACATTACTGATATTCGCAGAGCTGCAGCCTGGTCATTGGTGCCTCCTTTCACTAGACATGAAGCTGTTTCCCAGGCACTGAGCGATGGTGATGGGTTTGGATGAGCGGTGTTGCAGACCTTGCTCAGACAGACTCCAAAACCATCGTCCTTGCCAAAGTGCTTGTGCGTCACCTGATGTGGAATGGGGATGTGCGATCACTTGAAGAAGAAAAAATGGCTACTTACCTGTTCTGTGACTGTTGTCCTTTGAGGTGTGTTGCACACGTCCGTCCCACAACCCACCTCCTCCCCTCTACACTGGAGTCAAACCCACTCAGGAGGGTTCTCCCTTTATACCCTCACCTGGTAACATGACCCTGGGGTGTGCACATGGGCTGCCCCAAGGGATTCTGCTGGGGAAAAGGGTCTCTGGTTTTGTTGCCCTGGGTGTGCACCCACCTGAAGTGGGATGGACACGTGCAGCATGTCACTAAGTTACAGCACAGGTAACTAATAGGTAACCACCTTTGCCGTTACAGTATTATAACAAATGCAGGCCCACCTAGGACTGCCCAGAGCCACCGGGCTAACTGCTATTATGCTGACACATCTGAGTTATCACATCGAGACTAGAAACATTCCCCTCTGCTGCACTGTGATGTTTTTATCTTTAGGAAGCAGCCTGGCACGTCACAGATGAGTGCATCCAGGTCCTTGGAGGAATGGGATACATGCAGGTAAACGACCTTGGCTCCATCCGCCCCGAGCAGAACCACATGCATCATTTTTAAGGCTGTATTCAGGAGCTCGCAGTGCTCTGCCAAGGCAGCTGTGTGCACTCCTCTTGCAGGGATCACTTGAGTCTATTAAGGTCTTTGTTTGCACAGGAAGCTGGTGTCGAAAGAGTCTTGAGGGACCTGAGGATTTTCCGCATTTTTGAGGGCACCAATGATATCCTTCGCTTGTTTGTGGCACTGACGGGCATTGAGGTAAGGGGCTCTCTGTGGGCAAATACCTCCCCTTAAAGGCCTTGGCATTTTCCGGCACAGAGCGAGCATTGCACGGCCCAGCTGGGAGAGGGGGCCAGGAATCTGCCCTGGGACTAGGAGCAGAGTCCCTGCACTGCTCCAGTGCCTCCAGCAACAGCCTCTCCACGGAGTGCGGAGGGAGCCAGGGTGGGGTGCGGGCAGGGCTATGCCTCTGCCCCACACTGGCCCGCTGGGCTGGCTGGATGCAGGGGGAGCACTCAGGCTGGTGCAGCTGGCTCTGAAGGGATTCTAGTGGAGTCAGCTATGAACCCTGCAGCCATAGTGCAGCCTCCTCACACCACCCGCAGCGCAGAGCGTTAGCCGCCGCTGCTGAAAGCCCTCTCCAGAATCGCGTGGGAGGGTAATGTATGGGCTGTAGAGATGGGCCTGAATCAAATGTGCTCAGGTCCGAACAGTCCCAGCACTGGGGGTTGAATCTAAACCCAGATCCAGATCCACACTTCATTGCTGGAGGGAGCCGTATGAAATTGGCTGAACCAGACCCTCCGTCCAAACACCCGAAGCTGTGACAGGAGGGGCTGGGTGGGGGGTTGGGCCGGGGGTGGGCAGGGGGATGTTTTGGAATTTGGAACCTGATTGAATTTTGTGGCAAAAGTCCATTGCTGATGGTATGGGCCAAATTCTGCGCTCTATTGACTTCAGTAATAACAGTCGTACCCAGCTCTTGTGCTGCTCCCATGTGGAGGGGTAAATAACACTTCCTTATTCACGTTCTCCACACCAGCCGTGATATTAGAGACCTCTACCATATTTCCCCTTCGTCGTCTCTTTCCCAAGATGGACAGTCCCGGTCTTTTCAGTCTCCCCTCATAGGTGTTCTATAACCATAGTCATTTTTGTTTCCCTTCTCTGTACTTTTCCCAATTCTAATTTATCTTTTTTGAGATGGGACGACCAGAACTGCACGCAGTATTCAAGATGTGGGTGTACCATGGCATAGGCGCCGACTTCTACTGGCGCCGGTGGGTACTTGACCCCGCTCTGCCCCCGGCCCCACCTCGACTCCACCCCTGCCCCACCCCCTCCCCCATTCCAGCCCCTTCCCCAAAGTCCCCCCCCCAACTTCGCCCCCTCCCTGCCCCTATTCCGACTCCTTCCCCAAATCCCCACCCCCGCCCCGCTTCTTCCCCCTCCCTTGCTTGCTACAGCTGTTTGGCGGTGGCAAGCGCTGGGAGGTAGGTGGAGCAGCGGGGACACGGCGCGCTCAGGGGAGGAGGCAGAAGTGTCTTATTCTCTTATTTCTGTCTTATTATGTATCCTTTTCCTAATGGTTCCTAAAATTCTGGTCGCTTTTTTGACTGCCGCTGCACATTGAGCAAATGTCTTCATAGAACTATCCATAATGACTCCAACATATTTCTTGAGTGGTCACAGCTGATTTAGACGCTCTCGTTTTGTATGTGTACTTGGGATTATGTTTTCCGGTGTGTATTACTTTGCGCTTATAAGCATTGAATTTCATCTGCCATTTTGTTGCCCAGTCACACAGTTCTGTGAGATCCCTCTGTAACTCTTCACTGTCTGCTTTGGACTTAAATATCTTGAGTAATTTAGACGTATTGGAACATAAGCTTTCGTGGGTGAATACCCACTTCGTCAGATATATGACAAAGTGGGTATTCACCCACGCAAGCTTAAGCTCCAATATTTCTGTTAGTCTATAAGGTGCCACAGGACCCTTTGCTGCTTTTACAGATCCAGACTAGCACGGCTACCCCTCTGATACTTGAGTAATTTAGTATCAAATGGAAACTTTGCCACCTCCTTTGTTCACTCCCTTTTCCAGATCACTTATAAATATGTTGAACAGCTCTAGTCCCAGTACAGATCCCTAGGGGACCCCGCTATTTACCTCTCTACACTGTGAAAACTGACTGTTTATTCCTACTCTGTGTTTCCTATCTTTTAAGTAGTTACTGATCCATGAGAGAACTTTCCCTCTTATCCCATGACTGCTTACTTTGCTTAAGAGCCTTTAGTGTGAGATCTTGTCAAAGGCTTTCTGAAAGCCCAAGTACACTATATCTACTAGATCACCCTTGTCCTCATGCTTGTTGACACCCTCAAAGAATTCTAAGAGGTTGGTGAGGCAGGATTTCCCTTTACAACAGCTGTGTTGCCTCTTTGCCAAAATATTGTGTTTATCTTTGTGTCTGATAATTCTGTTCTTTACTATAGTTTCAACCAGTTTGCCTGGTACGGAAGTCAGGCTATCCAGCCTGTAATTGCCACGATCTCCTCTGGAGCCTTTTAAAAATAAACTGTTATATTAGCTACCTTTCAGTCATCTGGTACAAAGTCTGATTTAAATTACAGGTTGCATACCACAGTTAGTAGTTCTGCAATTTTGTATTTGACTTTCTATACAACTCTTGGGTGAATACCACTTGGTCCGGGTGACTCGTCACTGGTTGATTTATCAGTTTGTTTCAAAACCCCCTCGGTTGACACCTCCATCTGGGACAGGTCCTCAGATCCGTCACCCATCTTAGACACATTCCCATCCCAATTTTTAATGCTGTAGACTTTGTTCTCTTCTGCAGTGAATGGAGCCCCCTTGTTGGGGGTGCTGTATATACAAACACTTAGGTGGATGGACAGAAATCTGGGTACCATGTAATGTTGTAATGCAGAAATGATTCTTCATAAATCCTTCATGAATCCAAGCAATCTGTTCCACTGAGCTAAGGCCCTGAAATATGGTTTAGTTGCAGAAAATAAGGTGGTAGATTTTCATATTTCGCTACTGCAGGGGTTCTCAAACTTTTGTACTGGTGACCCCTTTCACCTAGCAAGCATCTGAGTGCGACCTCCCTTATAAATTAAAAACACTTTTTTATATATTTAACACTATTATAAATGCTGGATGCAAAGCGGGGTTTGGGGTGGAGGCTGACAGCTTGTGCCCCCGCCCCCCCATAATAACCTTGTGTCCCCCTGAGGGGTCCCGACCCCCAGTTTGAGAACCCCTGTGCTACTGTATAGTTAACCCAGAGATGCCCGGCACAACTCGGAACCTGCTGTATCAATCCCCTGAGGCTCATCCTGAGCATGTCCCTTTGCAGGGGTAGCCCTAAGAGTGTGTGTAATTAAATTCCTTTAATCATTTTTAAAACATTTTCAGTATGCTGGGGTCCAGTTAAAGAATCTGCGAACAACTGTCATGAATCCATCAGGGAAAACTGAGACCATCCTAAAAGATATTGGGATGAGAGCAAAGCGGTAAGCAGCACAGAGAACCTGTTACAGTTTGCCTTTCAGTTACAGTGGTGTAAAATAACATGCTGCTTCTACTGGCAGGGCGATGGAATAATGTTTCTGTATGGCGGGAGTGCAGAGAGCCGTTGAACCAAACTGTAAACCCTGTAAATGATGAAGCCTGCAAACTGTAAACCCTGTCTATGATGAACACCACTTCAAGCCAGGGGGTGCAGTAGCACCCCCTCCACCCTTAGTTCCAGCCCCTCTGGTCCTGAGAGCATGCAGTGAAATCAGAAGTGATGCTTGCGATGCCAGAGCAGAGGCTTAATAGTGAGCCAGTCTTCCAGCACGGAACCAGGGGCGCTGTGACACTGATGATGCCTCCTTTCAGACCAGCTGTAAAACCAAATTCCTGAGCATTTGTGGTCATAAGGATCCTATAGCTAGGGTGCCCAGGTGCCTGGTTTTCGACTGGAAAGTCCGGTTGAAAAGGGGGCCTGACAGTGTCCGGTCAGATCTACTAACCAGACACCCAAAGACCAGTTTCTGCGAGTGGGAGAGGCGAGAAGGCACTGGTTCATCACCTGCTCCAGCCCTTACTCAGCCAGGACCTCCTCCTACCTTCATCAGGCAGCTGCAGCCCTAGCCCCAGCTCTGCAGGCAAGTCCCTCCTGACCCAGGCGGTGGGGGGGGTTGGAGGGAAAAAGCAGTGAGCAACAGGTGGGAGGGGTAAGAGGAGTGGACAGAGGCAGGGCCTCAGAGGAAGAGGTGGGGTAGGTGTGAGGGCTTAGGGGAAGAGGTGGAGCAAGGGTGGGGCTTTGGGAGGAATGGGCGGGGCAGGGGTGGGGCCTTAGGGAGGATGGGGAGAGGCAGGGAGGTTCCAGCACTCCTGCTGAAGTGTCTGTTTTTTAAATATTACCAAGTTGGCAACCTTCCTGTGATTGGTTCCCTCTGGGGTGCCACTTGGAACTGGGATACCACTGAGCTCGCCAGTCCCACCAGCCTGGGTTTCCCTTACTCTGTGCTGCTGTGACAGGGTCTCAAGCCCCCTTCCATCACACACACACACGGCTGCAGCTTCACACAGGTGCTGGGATCAGTTCTGCATGGGAAAACTCAGCTAAGGAATTGCCCAGCACTCAAGTGCACACCCCCTTTGGAGTGTAAACCCAAAATTGTGTCGTCTTGCGCTGCAGAGAGAACTACAGAGCATAAGCTCATTGAAATTCGCTCCCTCCCTCAATGTGGAGGAAGATATGCACAGCCTTTTGTCCCCCAGTTATGAATTCCACAGACTGGTTTTAGAGAAAACAAAAGCAAGTTATTAACTACAAAAGATAGATTTTAAGTGATTATAAGTGATAGCAAACAGATCAAAGCAGATTACTTTAGTAAATAAACAAAAACTGCAAACTAGATGGGTAAGATATAAATTAGCAAATTCTCACCCTGAGTGATAAACCGGCTGGAAGATTCTCAAGGTACAAGCTGCCTTGGCTTTCCCAGGTTTTCATACACAGGCTAAAAATCCTTCTAGCCTGGGACCATCACTTCCCACAGTTCAGTCCTTGCCCCTCAGGTGTTTCCAAGTGTTGCAGGGAGAGTGAGGTACCTTTGTGATGTCATTTCCCCCTTTTATATCTTCTTCCCACTTGCTGGAAAGTTCTTTTGCTGTGACTTGGGTCAGACAGTTCCCACTGTGTCTCTGAGAGGTTTTTGTTGTACACAGTTCCTGGGTGTGCCTGCAAGGGTGGGGGAGATGGGGGATACCAGCGAAAGGATGACACTCAGGCCTGAAAACAGCAAGCTATGCTTTACTGAAGGAAGAAGTTATGCTCCAATCTGCGCGGGGAGTCCCTAGGGCATGCAGAGGGGCTGCAGGGGACTCTCGCTGTTCGGGAGAGCTGACCAGGCAGGACTCCGCTGGGAGCAAGTCCTCTGCAGTGTTATATTCTCTGTGCTTATCTCGGGGTTACATAGGGTCAACAGCTGGTTACGTTCTTACATGTATGATTTATGCTTGTTATATAAACTGACTTGTTTACAGGCAAAAAATATGCTGAGCTATGCTAAGATATATATTTTGGCAGGGTCTGTCGGACAAAGGTCATTGAAACTGCCTGCCTCCTCCGCTTACATTCAGTCATGTACGCGATCCGCCACTTAGCTCCTCGCCAATCTTCTGCAACTTTGCCTCTACACTGGGGTAATCCTGGTGCTCCTGTTCACACTGGGGTAATCCTGGTGCTTGTGTGCATTTCCTCAACAAGCCATTAACCTTGTTTGGCCATTTTACTGTTGTACCTGAAAGGCTGCTTGTGGGTGTGTTCAACCTCAGAACAGGTTTGAGTAACACACACAGAGCCAAACTTCATAACTTCACATACGATGATAGCATGTACAATCCAACGAGATATTACTGTCTAGCAGATCCAGACTTTTAGAATGATACCTCACAAGACATACTTTGTACAAAACATATCCTAATTACATGACAGTGGTGAATATTGAGGTGTCAGGGTGTCACACCTGCCTATAGCCCTTTTTGCAAGAGTTGGGGTCAGGGACGGCAAAGCTTTCCCAAAAGTGGGGGGCTAGGCCCCTTGCCCCTCTATGGCTCCATCCTTTGCCCCTGAGGCCCCATCCCCAGCCAAGCTGGAAGCCAGAGCTCGTCCAGGGAGCTGAGGACCCTCCACCTACCCGGGGTGGGAGAGCCCAAGAGCTGTTCCCAGCCTGTGTCCCCACCCCCAGGGGAGGTGGAGGATCTGTGTCTCCCACATGGCTGCCCGGGCTCCAGCTGCCAGCCTGGCCCCCCCAGTTCCAGCGCACCTGGTTGGGGTGTTAGACCAGGTGGTCTGGCCAAGTGTCCATTTAAGTGTTCACACTTTGCTACCTCAGTGGGAGTTTTGCAAGGTCAGACCTAATGTCCTGTGCCCAGAATGGTGTGCATGGTACGTCACATGCGTCATGTGATAAAGGTGGGAGGAAATTGTTCATGTAGAAAGGCTGATCTTGGTATGGGCACTTCCTGGAGATCGTGCACTGCCGGGTTTAGCTGCAGTTGTTTGAACTCAAACTCTTTTATGGTAGGAGTGAACCTTAGAAATGAGTTGTTGAAATAAGCTGACCAGATGTCCCAGTTTTATAGGGACAGTCCCGATTTGTGGGTCTTTTTCTTATATAGGCTCCTATTATCCCGCGCCCCCTATCTCGACTTTTCACACTTGCTGTCTGGTCACCCTATGTTGAAATGATACTGGGCCAAATTCATCCCTGCTTTACCTCCAGCTCCAGGGTATGTCTGCACTAGGAACCTGGCAGCATCAATAAAGACACTTACTACAGTGACACAAGGGGTTCTTCACTCGCTGTAGTAAATCCAGCTCCCCAACAGGTGGTAACTAGGTCGATGGAAGAATTTCACCTAGCGCTGTCTGCACCAGGCTTAGGTCGGCTTAGCTACATCGCATAGGGTGTGAATTTTTCACTGCCCATAGTGATGTAGTAAAGCGAACCTAACTTTGTAGTGCAGAATAGTCCCCAGTGACTGCCATGCAGTTGCTCCTGGATGAGCTGCTGCGTTGTGTTTTAAACCCTTTGTCCTTTCATTTTTTTGCTCATCTCTTTTCTCCCTTTGCAGTAAAGTTGGGATTCCCACTGGCTTGTCTCTGGAGGGAATCGTTCACCCAGGCCTAGACAACAGTGCATACCTGGTAAGGGAATTCTTTCTGAAAGATTTATTTCTCAGAGCCTGACCCTGCAGCTGTTGGAGTCATTGGTAAACTTGCTGTCATCTCCAGTGCTGCAGGGCCTGACCCTTAAATTGTCTGTCGTATTATGAGATCTGAATTATTTTGTACGTTTCTTGCATTTTTAGCCTTAAAGCAAATAATTTTCATGACAGCATCTACTCACCAATGATGACGTTTTTGTGATTCACAGCATTCATCTAGCATCTGCTTTAGACGAAGTTCATGCAAGGAATGTTTCTGTAGCCTACAGTTAGGAATGAACCTGGAAGCCTGTGTTTTAAATGAAGTGTTAGCTCTTTAAAAAGTCTTTGCTAAATATGAACTTTCAAGATTCAGACTGAAACATCATTTTCACGTTTAAAATACCATTGCCCAGCTGTCATTTCACTCTTTCAGATTTGTTGTCTCTGGCACAATAATAATAATTTACATTTTTAGTAGCATTTGGCATCAGCAGATCTCTAAGCACGTTCCATCACTCACAGTGTTAGAGAGGGACACACATGGATGGACATGCACACACAAATGGCCACACATGAATGTGAACACGGATACACACACACACACTCTCTCTCTCTCTCTGTTTTCTTGTAGGGGCTGTACTTTCTCCTGGGGGTTTTGCTTTACTTCATTCTTGTTGTTTTCCCTTCATCTAAGATAAATTGTAGGCAAAGCGCACATGGAGACCCACAAGACAAAGCTGCCAGTACAGGAGACAAGCGTCCCCACGTACTGCCATGGGGGCTGGAACAATTTGTATAGTGGGGGTGCTGAGAGCCATTGAACCAAACTGCAAACCCTCTATATAATCGAATCCACTTCAAGCCGGGGGTGTGGCAGCACCCCCAGCATCCCTAGTTCCAGCACCGATGCATACTGCCCTGCCAAAGTGATTGAGCTGTGCCCTTGCGGGGCGAGATGGCCATTCTGTCTCCATGGCCCATTCCTTTACAGGCCTCACTGCTGAGCATATCCCCAAGGGCCCAGTTGTGATGGTGGTTTCTGGTCTGCGGAGGACCCCAAACCCTCAGCAGCTCTCCTGGGACCCTGGGATCCTATGTCACCGGCAGAGCTAGGGTTCTCCCTAGCTGGTTCCTGAGCACCAGCTCCCCAGCCCCACCCTGCTCTCTGAGTTTCAGTGACACCCAGAGGGCCAGTCCCCAGTGCCCGCCTGGGTGTTTTGTGTTGCTCAGGCAGCATAAAGCACAGGGGCTGCTCCGGGGGCAACTGGGGAATCCCCTGGCCAAGAGAATCCTTGGGTGTTGTAGAGCAGCTGCAGCTGGCTTCAGACCGCGTGCTCCCAGCCCTCGCGTGCTCCCAGCCCTTGTGCTCCAGCAATCCCCAGCTGATAGAGTGGCCCCAGGAGGCCAGTCCTGCCAGTGGAAGTTGGGGCAGCCTTGAGGCTGCTCAAAGTCATGCCAAGGGCTGAATCAGCTCCAAGCTTGGGGCTGGAAAGTGGCTTAGTGCCAATTCGCCTTCAGGTCCGAACACAGCGCAACTGGTCCCCAGGATCCAGCCCAGTGCCCTGTGCTGGACGCGCTTTTCCCAGCGCTGCTCCCTGATCCCCAGAGGCACCCAGCCACCCAGCAGTGGTTGCTGAAAGTTACAGCTGTCTTGGAAAGGAAATGAACTGTTCTTCTGTGTCCATGTAAAGGTGACGAGGGCCATTGACCTGTTTGGTGAAGCTATTGAGAGCCTCCTGCTGAAGTACGGCGAGAAGGTGATAGGTGGGTGCCTCTGTGGCTGCTGTCAGCCCGCTTCTAACCAGCCATCAGATGACGTTAAACGACATTCCACCATTTGGCCTGTCGTAAAACCCATCACTGGGGCACCGAGCCAGGGCCCAGGGTGTGCTCCCAGAGCAGCACTTCTGTCACCTCCTGCAACGCTCTCTTCTCTCCCCTTCATCCTCTCCCCATTTCCCCTATGAATTCCTTCCCGCGTCACGCTCCTTGCTCTGCCCACCGCACCTCTCTCTGAATACAGACCTAGGTGGTGTGCGTCCATCCTTTGGGGATTGATATGGGTCCCCTCACTGCGGCACGCCGGGGTGAAAGCTCCCCCCGTGCCAGCCTGGAGCGTCGCTGGGCTGCAGGACTGCAGTGCAGCTGGGGTGTCCGCATGGCCCTGTGTACCTGCTCTGTATCCAAAGCCCCACAAAGCTCCGCAGGCCAAGGTCTGTGTGTAGCACCAGCATCATGCAGCCCTGATCCTGATGGTCTCCCAGGGCGCCTGAACAGCTGTACGTGAGTCGTATCCTGCCCTCAGTGTGCCCATGACATTTCATTAACACCCAGGGGAGCTGAGTGCGCAGACCCAGGATCCAACAGGGGCACCAGAAGTGATTGACCGATGGGTCTGGCTGGTTTGTTTAATTCGTTGGGGGCTGGGGCCGCACTGCAGGGTGCTGCTGAGCATTTGGCTCAGGAAAACGCTCCAGTCTGTGTGTTAGAGCCAACCAGCCCAGTGAGCGCCCTGTGCCAGGCTCTGGCGGCATCACCCCCCTCCCAGGGTCTCCAGTCAGTGGGTGGGTCCTTGTAGCAGTTTCTGGCCTGCCAATGTATCTGCACAGTGAGAGCCGGTTCACTGGCTTCCGTGCAAGTGCTGCGGAACTGCTGTTAGTTTTCACTAGCATAACACGTGCGTGTGCACGCATGCCCCGTCTCACCAACGTCTCTTCTCCCAGACGAACAGTTTCATCTGAAACGCGTGGCCGACGCTGCCATTGACATCTATGGCATGGCTGTGGTGATCTCCAGGTACGTGTGGCTAGCAGAGGAGAGCGAGTGCTTGGGAACGCCGTTCCTGGCCTGGCTGCCCTCTGACCCTCCCAGGCTGCGGAAGGCGCTTGTGGGCACTTGGTGCTTGTGTAGACTTGTCCCTGCCCCAATAGCTTGTCTGCCACAGCAGCCAGTGCAGAGCGAGTGGCGGTAGGAGAGCGCCTGACACACGTGGGAATTTCTGTGCACATCGAATGGGCTCATCCCTGTAGCACCTGGGAAGCCAAACAAAACCGAGTGAGATCCTATGTCCCTTGAAAGCCAGGACTGTGCCTTTGCTCGCCCAGTCTGGGCGTCTCTAATACAGGGTCAGATCCAGCCGCTGGTGTTGGGGTGAGCATGGTGGGAATGAGTGGGACATGCCACAGCTGCTCGTTCTCCAGGGAAGCAGGGGAGTCCAATCCTGTCCTCTGGAACCTGGTCGCTTTGGGGCGATGCTCTATGGCTGGGCTTGTTCCGCTTTCCTGCTCCAACCCGTTCTGACAAGTGCATTTTCTGCGCTCACAAAGTCCTTTGTCCCTGTGGCCCCTCCCTCGTGGCCACCGTCTTGTCTCCGCAGGGCCAGCCGCTCTCTGTCTCTGGGACAACCCACCGCTGAGCACGAGAAGCTCTTGTGTCAAACGTGGAGCCACGAGGTAGGCTACAGGCGGCTGAGGGGCCGGGTTTGGTTCACTCACTGTGGCAGGCTTATGGGCTTGTCAACAAGCCAGCCTGTGAGCTTGCTGCCAGCCTCTGCAAGAGAGCCCTGCATGGCCAGTGTGCGTGCCCTGGGCCCCACACACGCCCTGAGGGCTCCGCCCCCCGTGCATCCTGGGCATGCCCTGGGCCTCCCCCACACGCCCTGGGCCTCCCCCACACGCCCTGGGCCCCTGCATGAGAGCTCCACATGCCCCCCCCCCGTGTGCCATGAGTGCCTCTCTGCATGCCCTGAGCTCCCCCATGCACACCCTGTATGAGAGCCCCGCGTGGACCCCGGGCACCTTTCCACGTGCTCTCTGTGTGCCCTAAGGCCCTCCCCCCCGCATGCCTTGGGCACCCTGCACGGAGCCCTGCATGCCCTCCATGTGCCCAGCACCCATGTACAATATGCTGCCTCTGCCCCCATGGCCTCAGTGCGGGCTACGTGAGGGGCGTTGATCTGCCATGTGGTCTGTGCGGGGCCGTGGCTACGTGAGGGGCGTTGATCTGCCGCGTGGTCTGTGCGGGGCTGTGGCTACGTGGGGGGCGTTGATCTGCCGCGCGGTCTGTGCGGGGCCGTGGCTACGTGGGGGGCGTTGATCTGCCGCGTGGTCTGTGCGGGGCTGTGGCTACGTGAGGGGCGTTGATCTGCCGCGTGGTCTGTGCGGGGCCGGGGCTACGTGAGGGGCGTTGATCTGCCGCGTGGTCTGTGCGGGGCCGGGGCTACGTGCGGGGGTGTTGATCTGCCGCGCGGTCTGTGCGGGGCCGTGGCTACGTGAGGGGCGTTGATCTGCCATGTGGTCTGTGCGGGGCCGTGGCTACGTGAGGGGCGTTGATCTGCCATGTGGTCTGTGCGGGCCGTGGCTACGTGAGGGGCGTTGATCTGCCATGTGGTCTGTGCAGGGCCGTGGCTACATGAGGGGCGTTGATCTGCCGCGCGGTATGTGCAGGGTCATGGCTACGTGCGGGGGTGTTGATCTGCCGCGCGGTCTGTGCGGGGCCGTGGCTACGTGAGGGGGTGTTGATCTGCCGTGCGGTCTGTGCGGGGCCGGGGCTACGTGCGGGGGTGTTGATCTGCCGTGCGGTCTGTGCGGGGCCGGGGCTACGTGCGGGGGTGTTGATCTGCCGCGTGGTCTGTGCGGGGCCGTGGCTATGTGAGAGGTGTTGATCTGCCGCGTGGTCTGTGCGGGGCCGTGGCTACGTGAGGGGCGTTGATCTGCCGTGTGGTCTGTGCGGGGCCGTGGCTACGTGAGGGGCGTTGATCTGCCGCGTGGTCTGTGCGGGGCCGGGGCTACGTGAGGGGTGTTGATCTGCCATGTGGTCTGTGCGGGGCCGTGGCTACGTAAGGGGCGTTGATCTGCCGCGTGGTCTGTGCGAGGCCGGGGCTACGTGAGGGGCGTTGATCTGCCGTGTGGTCTGTGCGGGGCCGTGGCTACGTGCTGGGTGTTGATCTGCCGCGCGGTCTGTGCGGGGCCGTGGCTACGTAAGGGGGTGTTGATCTGCCATATGGTCTGTGCGGGGCCGTGGCTACGTAAGGGGCATTGATCTGCCGTGTGGTCTGTGCGGGGCCGTGGCTATGTGCTGGGTGTTGATCTGCCACGTGGTCTGTGCTGGGCCGTGGCTACATGCGGGGTGTTGATCTGCCGTGTGGTCTGTGCAGGGCCGTGGCTACGTGAGGGGCGTTGATCTGCCATGTGGTCTGTGCGGGGCCGTGGCTACGTGAGGGGCGTTGATCTGCCGCGTGGTCTGTGCGGGGCCGTGGCTACGTGAGGGGCGTTGATCTGCCGCGTGGTCTGTGCTGGGCCGTGGCTACGTGCTGGGTGTTGATCTGCCGCGTGGTCTGTGCTGGGCCGTGGCTACGTAAGGAGCGTTGATCTGCCTTGTGGTCTGTACGGGGCCGTGGCTACGTGCTGGGTGTTGATCTGCCGCGCGGTCTGTGCGGGGCCGTGGCTACGTGCGGGGGTGTTGATCTGCCATGTGGTCTGTGCGGGGCCGTGGCTACGTAAGGGGCGTTGATCTGCCGTGTGGTCTGTGCGGGGCCGGGGCTACGTGAGGGGTGTTGATCTGCCGCGTGGTCTGTGCGGGGCCGTGGCTACGTGAGGAGCGTTGATCTGCCACATGGTCTGTGCGGGGCCGGGGCTACGTGAGGGGTGTTGATCTGCCGCGTGGTCTGTGCGGGGCCGTGGCTACGTGAGGGGTGTTGATCTGCCGCGTGGTCTGTGCGGGGCCGTGGCTACGTGAGGGTTGTTGATCTGCCGCGTGGTCTGTGCGGGGCCGTGGCTACGTGAGGGGTGTTGATCTGCCGCGTGGTCTGTGCGGGGCCGTGGCTACGTAAGGGGGTGTTGATCTGCCATATGGTCTGTGCGGGGCCGGGGCTACGTGAGGAGCGTTGATCTGCCACGTGGTCTGTGCGGGGCCGTGGCTACATGCTGGGTGTTGATCTGCCACGTGGTCTGTGCGGGGCCATGGCTATGTGAGGGGCGTTGATCTGCCACGTGGTCTGTGCGGGGCCGTGGCTACGTGGGGGGCGTTGATCTGCCGCGTGGTCTGTGTGGGGCCATGGCTACGTGAGGAGCGTTGATCTGCCGCGTGATCTGTGCGGGGCCGTGGCTACGTTAGGGGCGTTGATCTGCCGCGTGGTCTGTGCGGGGCCGTGGCTACATGCGGGGTGTTGATCTGCTGCGTGGTCTGTGCGGGGCCGGGGCTACGTGAGGGGTGTTGATCTGCCGCGTGGTCTGTGCGGGGCCGTGGCTACGTGCGGGGGTGTTGATCTGCTGCGTGGTCTGTGCGGGGCCGTGGCTACGTGAGGGGTGTTGATCTGCCGCGTGGTCTGTGCGGGGCCGTGGCTACGTGCGGGGGTGTTGATCTGCCATATGGTCTGTGCGGGGCCGGGGCTACGTGAGGAGCGTTGATCTGCCACGTCGTCTGTGCGGGGCCGTGGCTACATGCTGGGTGTTGATCTGCCACGTGGTCTGTGCGGGGCCGTGGCTACATGCTGGGTGTTGATCTGCCATGTGGTCTGTGCGGGGCCGTGGCTACGTGAGGGGCGTTGATCTGCTGCGTGGTCTGTGCGGGGCCGTGGCTACGTGAGGAGCGTTGATCTGCCGCGTGATCTGTGTGGGGCCGTGGCTACGTTAGGGGCGTTGATCTGCCGCGTGGTCTGTGCGGGGCCGTGGCTACATGCGGGGTGTTGATCTGCTGCGTAGTCTGTGCGGGGCCGGGGCTACATGCTGGGTGTTGATCTGCCACGTGGTCTGTGCGGGGCCGTGGCTACATGCTGGGTGTTGATCTGCCATGTGGTCTGTGCGGGGCCGTGGCTACGTGGGGGGCGTTGATCTGCCGCGTGGTCTGTGCGGGGCCGTGGCTACGTAAGGAGCGTTGATCTGCCGCGTGATCTGTGCGGGGCCGTGGCTACGTGAGGAGCGTTGATCTGCCACGTGGTCTGTGCGGGGCCGTGGCTACGTGAGGAGCGTTGATCTGCCACGTGGTCTGTGCGGGGCCGTGGCTACGTGAGGGGCGTTGATCTGCCGTGTGGTCTGTGCGAGGCCGGGGCTACGTGAGGGGTGTTGATCTGCCGCACGGTCTGTGCGGGGCCGTGGCTGTGCAGGGCTGTGGAGGTGTGTGTGCGGTGCTCTGTAGCACTGTTTGCCTGGCCTGCGTTCGAGCAGGAAGGTGCAGCCCGACGAGTGGGAAGGCAGCAAGAGCAGAGTCCCAGATGCCTTTGCCCTGATCCTGCACTGCTGACGTCATTGGAAGCTTTACCCCGACTAGGCAAGTGACGGGTTAAGCCCTTCCTGCCTCGAGTAGCAAGTGGGCGGGAGGTGTGTGGCCCCCCGGCTTTCCTTGCAGACACCTACAGAACCCATGGAGGCTGGCAGAGAGGGGAGGGGTGGGAGGGGCGAGCACACCGAGCCCCCGTGAGCTCAGGCAGTAAAGGGGGCAGAGCAGCAGAAGGAGGGGAGTGATGAGGAGGGAAGGCCCCCAGCCTGGATGGGGGATTCCAGTGGACTGCCCTTTTCCTCAGCTGTGTCCACAACAGACCCTGGCCCTCTGGCTGGCTCGGTGCATGGGCTACACAGACAGAGTTCAGTGTGGAGTTTGCTGTCAGCATGTGCGTACTGGCCACATGTCAGGCTTTGGCTGGCCAGCTCCACATGCTAGCACGTGGATCTCCACGTGGACGTGGGCCCTCCTGGTGGCCAGGAGTGGAGATGGGCTGTTTCCGTAGCCCGGATGGCACAAATGGCCTGGCCCGGTACAGTCGTCTCCTGAGGCTGCCTGTGACCAAGATGGTGATTTCCTGCACTAGCCCTGGGAGACTGACTGAATTCATTGTCAGTCTCTTTGGGGTCCGTAGTTCAAGGAACGGTTTATGAATCCCTCTGAGCTGGGGTTGTATGTAAGCCCTCCAGGGGTAGATGGGACAGAGGTGAGGCCTGGGGGATCTAGGGACGATAGTGGACAATGTGCCAGAAAGGAGTGGACTCTTGGACCAAGAAATGGTAGGTGGATTTCCCAGGGAATGCCTAGGGAGAGGTGGATGCAAACTCCGCACCCTCAGTGTCATGGTTTGGGGTGCAGTTCAGATGTGTGACTGGTTGTGTCACCACTTGGCCTGTAACCCCGAGGCCCGTAAACTGCTTTGCTACTGTTGCCACATGTCTGGACTCTGCGGCCAGCGGCCCTGCATGTCTGGGTGTTATGCAGCCCTGGGCCAGCAGCTCCAGCCGCCGGCTTGTTCTTCCACAGCCACACCCCGGTCTCCACCAGTGACCCCAGCACGCTCCCAGTCCCGAATTTCCCCCAGACCTTCTGCTCTGAAATGGCCAGCCCTATCTTGGGACGTTCAGAGGAGTAATCAGTCCATTGCTCCTTTAAAGAGACAAAAGCTGAGCAGTTTAACTGGAGTTAATAATCATGTCAAGTCAGACGCGGCACAGGGTTGGTTTAGAATAAAAGTGAAATAAGTTTATTTAATCAAAAAGAGAGGTTTGGTGTGAGTTCAGGTATGAGGGATACAGTCAGAAACGGCTACAAACAAAGACAAGTGGAAACATGCATCTACCAGGCCTAAACATAACCTAGCAAGATACAGTCTTTGTTCAAGATGGTTTCTCTCACCCCAGTCTCCTTTCCAGCTTTCACTGGCTCGCCTGGCCAGGACCCATCCCAGATCAAATTGCTCGGTTTCTTTGTCTCCTTAAGGTGAAGGATACCATATAGGGTTGCCAACTTTCTAACTGCACAAAACTGAACAGCCTAGCCCCGCCCCTTCCCTGAGGCGCCCCCTGCTCACTACATTCCCCCTCCCTCGGTGGCTCGCTCTCCCCCACCCTCACTCACTTTCACTGGGCTGGAGGGGGTTGGGGTGTGGGTGGGGGTGAGGGCTCTAACTGGGGGGTATGGGCTCTGGGGTGGGGCCAGAAATGAGGGGTTCAGGGTGCGGGAGGGGGCTCCAGGCTGGGGCCGAGGGACTTGGAATGTGGGAGGGGGCTGCAGGTTGAGGCAGGGGGCTGGGGTGTGGGAGGGCATACGGGCTCTGGGCTGGGGGTGTGGGCTCTGAGCTCGGGCCGGGGATGAGGGGTTTGGGGTGCATGAGGCTGGTGGGGGTGGGGATGAGGGATATGGAGTGCGGGAGAGAGCTGCAAGTTGAGGCAGGGGGTTGGGGTGTGGGAGGGGGTGAGGGCTATGGGCTGGGGATGAGGGGTTACAGGTGTGGGAGGGAGCTCTGGGCTGGGGCAGGGGGTTGGGGTGTGAGGGCTGTGGGATGGTGGTGCAGGCTCTAGGATGGGTCCAAGGATGAGGGGTTTGGGGTGCAGGAGAGGGCTCCAGGTTTGGGGGACTCAGGGCTGAGGCAGGGGGTTGGGGCACGGGCTTACCTCCGGCAGCTCCCAGTCAGCAGCGCAGCAAGGGTGCTAAGGCAGGCTTCCTGCCTGTCCTGGCACTGCGGGCTGTGCTACGCCCTGGAAGTGGCCAGCAGCAGGTCCGGCTCCCAGGCGGAGGTACCCATGCGGCTCTGCGCGCTGCTCTCACCTGCAGACATCACCCCTCCCCCCCACATCTCCCATTGGCCTGTTCCCAGCCAATGGGAGTGTGGAGCCAGTGGTCAGGGTGGGGGTAACATGCGGAGCCCTGTGGCCCCCCTGCCTAGGAGCCAGACCTGCTGGCCACTTCTGGAGCACAGTATGCTGCCAGAACAAGTAGGGACTAGCCTGCCTTAGCCGGGCAGCACTGTCGACTGGACTTTTAACGGCCTGGTCGGTGGTGCTGACCGGAGCCGCCAGGGTCCCTTTTCAGCCGGGTGTTCCAGACACCTGGTCACCCCAATACCGTACGTACCATGGAGGGGGAATACAGGTGGAGTTGCACTGACCTGTGACACTGGCTTCAGTTTCTCTGTCATTAGCGTCACTGTAACAGCTCAAGGTGTGAATTCTGGATCTCTGCCTGTCCAGCTCAGGGACCCTAGCTCCTGTCACAAGCATTGCACTGGCTGCAGGAGGTGACTGATCTCTGATACCAGAGCACCAAGGGGATTTCTGATCGAACGTACGTGCAGCTGCAGAATGATAGTGGCTACTTGTTGTATGCACATGGAGCCAGTCCTGAAAGCTTGGCCCACTGCATGTAAAATCCCTCCCTCGGTCTGACTGCACAAGAGTTACAGCATGTGGTTTAATAACAAGTAAGTGACTGGGTGTTTCTTTGTCCAATGCAGGCATTTGAGCGAGTGAGAGAGAATCTCCGAGCAGTGAAATCGTCTACGTGGAATCAGTCCTTTGCTAACATGAAGCTAATATCTAATGCTGTTGTACGGAACCAAGGGATCCTAGCCGCACACCCACTGGGCTTCTGAACAGAAATGCTGCTTTGGTTGACAATGAGCAAAAGCTACAAATCAATCCTATTATATAGAGAAATATTACATGACACACAGTTGGCTTCTGTCTCTGAGAAAAGCCAACACTGTGCCACGGCGTCACTGCATGTGGGCTGCAGCGAGGGGCCGTGCGTCTGTCCCGCTTTCTGAGAACCCTGAGCACATGGACATAAAGGCCCCCCACTGTGGGTTGTTGGGGCAGCCTGCATGCATAGCAGCTCCCCGCCACTCCTCCATCCTGGTCAAGGAGATTAATTTGGGCCACATGGGTTCCAGCTGAGGGCAGGTTTTAACTGCCTCTTGCCTGGACTCTTCTAGCCTGCTCCAGGGGTCCCGCTGAGGCCTTTGCTGAGGGATAGAGAAGGTCACCCCAAGATGCACTGAGCCAAGGCTGCTAGGTCCCCCCATTGTGTCCGTGGTTCTCTGGGTGAAGGGGAGAGGATCCTGGCTAAGTCAGTGCACACAGACTCCTGGCCATCTCCCGGTCTTCTGCCTCGTGCATCACCGAGGGCTGCTGTAGGGTGAGCCTGGGGCTGTTGTGATCTTTGGCCGAGGGTTTTACTGACCCTGGCGCAGTGGACTGTGAGCTTCTCGCTGTCTTTACATGCCACGTGAGGTGAGCTCTGGTTTGGTGGGCTGGGATCTGGCTGCGGGAGGTGCCTTCTCCAGCCAGGGCTGCGTGCAGCGTGGGCCTGCACGGGCATGCTGGCTTTGGGGGTCAGTCTTGGTGACCGTCTCTCAGGGAGATGCTGCCAGCTGCCTGCAGCTCATGCAGAGATTAGATTCTGCCTGCTTGTGGGCTGGCGTCAAGGGGAGAGTCCGGGCAAGCAGCCCTCATCCCTGTGAACTCGGGGACTACCTTGGCAGGGCCAGCTCAGGTCGTGTGTAGTGGATGTGGGCCCCGGGGCTGGAAACGAAGGGGCTCGTGTTCTGGGAGGCCACGTTCTCCAGTGTCTGGTGGGCACATCCCTGCAGCTGTCAGCCTGCAGGCCTTAGGGGCACAGCCCAGTGACTCTCTGAGGCACACGTCCCTTGGGGCATGTGCACTGGGGTTTGCTCACAGAGGGCTGCATGGTATCAGCGGTGGTAACGTTGTTGAGCACTGCTAAGAGGCTGCTGCATTTCCATGATGGCTGGGGCAAGCCCTGCTTCTGATGTGTGTTGAGGGCTTGGTCCTCTTTGGCTGAGGTGAGCTGTGCACCCAGGCCCAGGTGCCGGGAGCAGCTGGGGCCCTGGTGATCTAATTCAGCAGAGCTGATTTAGGTCAGATACTAATTAAAATACTTCATGAATACTACCATTAGAGAGACAGGGTGGGTGAGGTATGTCTTTTACCTTCATTAGCGCTGTGTGGTTCCAGAGCTTGCCTCTCTCTCCAACAGACATTGGTCCAATAAAAGATAGTCCATCCCGCATATCCTGGGAGTGACATGGTTACACCACCACTGCGTATCACCCTGACTGTGTGAAAACAGAAAGGGAGGTGCTGAAAGCAGGCAGCCCCCAGGGGGAGCTCAGCAAGGCTGACACTCCAGATCCAGTGAACCAAGAACACAAACCTGTTTCCTAATCAGGTCCCACACGTTGGGCTCTGTGCTCGGTGGGATGTTTCCCACTTGGACACTCATCTGCCTTTGTCTCCTCCACATTAAACAATCAAGCACGTATCATTTGGCAGATTTAAATGCGGGCTCAGCCAGGGCTGCAGTCTCCCCCGCTCCCTAGAGGAGCCCATCGAATCCGGACCCCTGACACGCAGCACTTCCCTTTGTCTCCCGTGCAGCTGAGCTGTTTGAATGCTGTGTGATTCAGAGGCTGGTGCAGCGTGAGTTGTAGATTCCACAGGCAAAGTTATACACACAGAGCTCGCTGGAAATGAGGCAGGCCCAGGTGCTGCGGCCAATGACACATTTGGGGGTGAGGGTGCTGTACAAAAAGGATTTTTGTGGAATGCCACAAATTATTCATCTTGCAGCAAACCCTTGTCCGTGTGCAGGCAGCATCCTGGAGGCTGGAGCATGCATGCATGGCCCAGATATGGCTTGGAAAGCAGCTGCTGTTCTAGCAGAGTGGAGCAGAACTCTGCTTTAACAATAGAGCAGCTGGCCCTGGAGCAAGGGCAACACACTCCCACAATCAGGGTGTCTCCCCTGCTCCCCATTGTGTCTCCTGTACATTTCCTTGCCACATGGGGGAGATGTGGAGCAACCTGGTGGGAGGTTGCATGCCCATGGAAAGGCGTACCAGAAGCCATGCCCCATGCTATGGGAAGCAGCACAGGATACGTGGGGGAAATAAATCAGTCCCATGATCCTGCCCTCGGGCCAGATTTTAGAAGGGCAGAGCCCCCAGGATGGCAAATAAGAGCAATGTCTGTAAAACAGGCTCAGCACCTCTGAAAGATCAGCCCCAGCTCACACGCTGAGCAGGATGGGCAGGTCTGGGTGAGAGCCAGGGGGTGGAAGGGGCTGAGCCTAGCACTATGTGTCTCCCCAGCGCATACACACCTGGGCGCTGGGGAGCAGCCCAGGAAAGAAGCCAAGTGAAGCGGCTCTCGGGGCTTGTAGATGCAGGGTGGGCACTGGCCGGGGGAGGGCAGGAGGCTCAGCCACTGGGAGGCCAGGCTGACATCTCAATCCCGGCCTAGAGGAGGCCCCGTAGCACTAGTGAATGGCAGCAATCTGGAGCAGCAACTTCATTGTCACGCTGGCCCCAGGGCTGCGAAGTGCCGCTCCCGGAGGGGTCAGTGGGGACCCTGGGGGTATGGGACTGAATAGACACAGGAAGGGAATAAAGGGAGGGTGGCAGCACCAAGGAGCCCATCACAAGCAACTGATGGACGGGATCCCGACAGGGCAGTTGACCTGCTGTCTGGACACAGGATGTGGCCATGGGCACTGCAGTCCTGGAGTGAATGGCACTGGCATGGTTGTACGGCACAGTGCTGGGGGCCGGGGCCAGCATGGCAGGGTCGTGGGCAAACAGTGAGCCGGTGGTGGTCTCCAGGACAGCATCTTCTTGGGGCAGGCCATGGCTGACACACAGAGCAACAAGCCCGCGGAGCGGTCTTGAACAGCACAGGCGAGAACAGAGATGCCCCACGCTGAGCACACAGCACAGCGTTCATGAGCTGCAAGCAGAGGGCATCCAAAGGCAGGAGCTCCGTTGCACACGACTGACTGATCCCAGGAATGCCTGGCCCTCGGCCAGTACGCCCAGGCCATGGTCCCAGGTATGTTCATGTTAGTGTCACGGTCACAAAGCCGGCTCTGCACGTCCCAGCATGCAGGCAAATGGCAGATAGAGCAGCGCAGGGCAGCACTGGCCAGAGCGGGGCAGAGAGTCACGACTCAGCCTGCAGCCCAGCCAGGCTCTGGCCACCTAACGAGTGCAGCTGGCTGTAGCAGGTTGCCTGACTGGCTTCGGCCGGTTGGTTGGAGAAGTCAGCAGACTGGCTCTGAAGCAGCAGCTGGAAGAGGTTTTCTGCTTGCTTGTTGCCAGCCCTGCCTCAGACCAGGTAACCCAGTCCTGGCACGTCACTGATTTCTGCCTTCCACTCTGACCTTGGGTTCTGGCCTCTGGCTCGGTCCCTGACCCCTGCTGCAGACGCTGGTCATGGGGGCCGTGGCTGGTCACGGAGAAGGCTGCTGCTGAAGCTTCTGGCTCTCCCAATGATCCACTGGTGCAAAGCCCTGGCAGGCACATGTGGTGTTTAGACAAGGCTCAGAATCCCAGGGGCCCAGGGCAGACCAGGCCTCCCTGGCGCAGGGGTGCAGTTACCATCGCTGTGAGCACATGAGGAGGCCGATGCTGTCAAGTGAGATGCCACAGTCTGGCATCACGTTGATTGCCCGAGGCTGAGCACTCACGAGCCCTCTGGAGCCAGCGGGTGCTGCAGGGACCCTGCATCTCTGGCACTCAGGCTGGTTTCGTTTTGGTGCCTGGATCTAGATGTGGGGAACACGACTGCCATGTTGGCCTGGGTGTGTGGCCAGCTGGCCGAGAGCCATCGTGTGGGGGAAGGTGCCACACCCCTTGTTGCACAACCCACGTGGTATCACAGGGCCGAGGCAGCACGGCGCACGCTGGAGGACTAAACGGCTCCCTAGCCAGGCACTGCAGTAGGCCAGGCCCAGCCGGGTGCGGGGGAGGAGGCGGCGTGACCTCTCTGACTGGCTTTTCTGCAGAGCACAGGGGCCATGCGGTGAGGGGGGCTGCAGCCCTGCGTGCTGCTTTCTGCTGCACAGCACTGCGACATGCAGGCAACTGCAGTGGCCGAACTTGCTGCCAGCTCCCTTTGTGTGGGAAGGGCAGCGTGGTGGCTGCAGGAAGGGAGAAGGCAGAACTGGGACAGGATTAGCATGCGGGGGTGGCTGAATAACTGGGCGCAGAGGGCGCACCGGGCCTGGCTGAGTGCATGCATGTTTTCAATGGTGTTTATGGCCATCCTTTGCCGATGGGAGGACGGAGATCTTTCCGCGAGCGTGGCCACTGGCTCTTGCTGGTGTTGGCCAGGCTGTGGCCCAGCGTGGTGTGGCACAACGCATGGTTTGCAGGGGCTGCTTCTCCCCTGTGCGTGTGTGTGTGGGCACAGTGCATGCAGACCAGGGCATGACGGTGGGTTTCCCTAGGCTGTGGATGGGTGGCCGTCTGCCAGCCCACTGGGCTGTGCTCCCCAGTTACCGTTTGTCACTGTGCCTCAGTGGGTCACGCTGAGGATGCCAGATTCAGGACAAACTGCTGAGAAATAGGGCAGACTCACCCGCAAGTGGTGGTTATTCTTCCATAAGCTGTAACAAAAGCAAACTTCTGTCTCACCAGGCTGGCTAATGAGAAGTCAGGCATGCAGTATCCTGAGGAATCCCAGCCCTTGTCACAACCCAGACACCAGATGTAAGGATGAGTGGTTATTGAAAATCAATTTCACCGGACGGTTCTTCTAATCTCGAGATGAGTCACATACCCAGCTCAATGTATAACGCAGATCTTACCAATAATCACGCTGTTGCCAATCCTTTTGTATCTAATATCTAAAGATTTATTTTAGGGCTGTCAAGGGATTCAAAAAATGAATCACGATTAATCACATGGTTCAAAAAATGACCCTACAAGAAATGGGCTGCGGTATTGCAGTGCCAGGCCTGGAAGCAGATGGAAAGCAGTAGGAACATCTCCTTCCTCCAGTGCATTGCTGTGAAGATGCTGGCCCGTGGGGGAGGGAGTTTTAAAAAGGGCTTTAACAAGCAGTAGGGTGACCATACAAAGGGCAAATGGGACACCAGGCAGGGCCGGCCCGAGGCCCCCCCCACACGGGGCCAGCCTGAAGCCACCTTCCCCTGTGGGGCTGGCCCAGCCCAGCCTGCTCTCCTGAGCCCTCCCTCCCTTCCACTCAGGGCTGGCCTTGCCGCCCTCCCACCTGCACCTGCACATTCCTCTGGGCCCCGCTAGGGGTCGCACCCCACTTCTGGGGCAAAACTGGTCATGTGTCCTGTTTGCGCTTGCCATCTGATCAGCAGCTGGCAAGAGCTAATGGGACATATGCCCGGTTTTGGCAAAAAGAGTTGGGAAGGGTGGGACAAGGCTTAAGAAAGATCTGTGTTGTGGACGGTGGCACTGCGGAGCTGTTGCTGTGGGACCTGCGATGCCAGTAGTTGGGAGGGTCAAGGGGGTGGGGAGCGTGGCACGGGAGCCTTCGCATGGCTGCTCTGAGCCACTCCCTTGCAAGCAGCCATCTCGGCGGGGCTGTCACTTGGGGGAGAGGGAGGGACGGTGCAAGGGAACCATTCAACCCATGTGCATGCAAACACACACACACGGAACCAAACACTGAAGTTCTCCAAAACAAGGCATTCTCAGCAAGCTTTTTGCAGAGGGAGGGAAAAGTGAAAAGAGGAGTTTGCTGATTAGACACATTTGACAGCCAGCGGTACAAGACTGGAAGCTGCATGCAACTGCACTCCAAGAAATACCACACCTTTTTCAATTATTCTGCATCATTCCTATAGCACTATAAGTGTGTCCAATGATTTACAAAGCAGAGGAGATCTCTTCGCTGCCCCGAAGTCCTTTCAATTTGAAATCCGAGCCCAGAATCCCATCTCACCCAGAGCCACACGGCTTAGGTTTATCAGACTCCACAACTATAAAATTATAACCCCCCCCCAAAAAAAGGAGAAATTAAATTTCACACCAGTACTCCCTATCTTTGTGATACCATCTGAGAGCAGGGCTAATCCCTTTGATTGGCTGAAGTGAGGGGGCGGGTCAGAAAGCTGGCAGCAGACTGCATTTCTACATGTGCCTGGCACATCACTAGGCTGAGCTGCACAACTCTTCACTGTCATGAGTACGTGTTGCACAAAGATTGAGAACTTCATTATTCCTAAGGGAAACATCTTCAAACATGTCAAAAACAGTTGTCTTCAGTAAGATCCTAGTCCAGGGGTTGGCAAACTTTTTGGCCCGAGGGCCACATCTGGGTGGGGAAGTTGCATGCAGGGCCATGAATGTAGGGCTGGGGCAGGGGGTTGGGGTGCAGGAGGGAGTGCGGGGTGTCGGAGGGGGTGCCGTGTGCAGGAAGGGGCTCAGGGCAGGGGGTTGGGGTGCAGGAGGGATGTGGCAGGGGACTCAGGGCAGGGGATTGGGGTGCAGGAGGGGTGTGGGGTACGGCAGGGGGCGGGCAGGGGGGTGGGGTGTAGGAGGGGGTGCGGAAGGAGGCTCAGGGCAGGGGGTGGGGTGCAGGAGGGGTGCGGCAGGGGCTCAGGGCAGGGGCTGGGGTGCAGGAGGAGTGTGGGGTGCAGCAGGGGGCTCAGGGCAGGGGGTTGAGGTGCAGGAGGGGTGCGGCAGGAGCTCAGGGCAGGGGGTGGGGTGCAGGAGGAGTGTGGGGTGCAGCAGAGGGCTCAGGGCAGAGAGTTGGGGTTCAGGAGGAGTGCGTCAGGAGGCTCAGGGCAGAGGGTTGGGGTGCAGGAAGGGTGTGGGTGCGGCAGAGGCTCAGGGCAGGGGGTGGGGTGCAGGAGAGGTTCGGGGTGAGGGCTCCGGCCCGGCATGCAGAGGGGCTAAGGCAGGCTCCCTGCCTGCCCTGGCCGTGCGCTGCTCCCAGAAGCAGCTGGCGCCATGTCCCTGTGGTCCCTGGAGGATGGCGGGGCAGAGGGCTCCACGCGCTGCCCTCGCCTCCAGGTACCTCCCCTGAAGTTCCCATTGTCCACGGTTCCCTGTTCCAGGCAAATGGGAGGTGCAGGGGCGGTGCCTGCAGGCGAGGGCAGAGCACGGAGCCCTCTGCCTCCCACCCCTTCCCTAGGGGCTGCAGGGACATGGTGCCGGCCGCTTCTGGGAGCGGCGTGGGGCCTGCAGCGCCATGGGGCTGGCAATCCCGTGGGCCGGATCCAAAGCCCTGAGGGGCCAGATCCGGCCCGCGAGCCATAGTTTGCCCACCCCTGGCCTAGGACATGAGACGATAGATGGAGACAGACGAGGTGCGCAAAGAAATGGCGATACAATGATCGGTCAGCATGACTGGCAGTGGTCTCAGCACATCATCAGCCAGTTACTCCAGCATAAATCCAGAGCAACTGCACTGGCCTTCTCTGGCGTAACTGAGATCGCAAGCTGGCCCCGATCTCCAGTCCCCAGCGGGGCTGGGAGCAGTTCCACCAGTGAGAGGGACATTTAAAGTCACCCTTTTAAAACTGGCTGTTTCAATAGTGCTGACAGCCCCTTGCCACGCAGTCGCTCGCAGCTGCAAAGTACCGCTGCGGCTGCAAGTGCTCTGCCCAGAAACACGTCTTCCCTTGTCTCCCTTCGGGGAGTGGCTGAAAGACAGAAAGTCTCTGCAGTTTTGCATCGGGTGCAGATTTAAGCCATCCGAGCTGCATTCCAAAAAAACAAGCGTGTCAGGGATCAGGGTGTGGCTTGTGCCAGCGTTAAGGAATGATGACCCCAGCATACTTATAAAATAAGTGAGGGCAACTCGCTAGACAGCTGTTCCTCATAACCCGGGCCTCTATCAACAGCACTTTGCTTCTCCTTCTCAGCAAAGGTATGTTGCCAAATTAATTGATTGAAGGTGCATGTCAGTATAAAATGGGAGCTGCTTTCTTGTGCCCTGTGATTGTCGTATTCCTTGTAGACAGGGGTGCTGACACTGTATTTCAAAAATAAAGGACTGTTTTCTTAGCACCCCTGCCCCACCCCATCCCGATATTTTTTATTATTAATCCTTAGCAGGACTCACCTTCATTCGCCATGGATATTTCTTGCTGCTTTTTGCAGCACTCAGCAACTCCCGATCTTGTCCAGAAGAAATCGTAAGTGCTGGAACGAGGGGTTGCTGCGGGGGCGCCACCCTGCTGCCTTGAAGTGGTTTCAGTCATCTACAGGGTTTACAGTTTGGTTTAATGGCTGTATTTGTGCCCCTGCCTGCAAGCCAAAAATGCTTTGATTGGATTTATTTTTAATGTATGTTTTGGAAGTGTGCTGGGGCAGCCAGGAAAGGTTAAGGGCTGTCTGCCTGTCAGGGGTAGGGGGTCTAGGGTTGAAGATTTTCCTCGTATTGTTGCCAGTGAGTTGCACACCCTCTAATGCCTGGTGGAGGTGCTCAGCTTTGAAAGGGAGAAAAGAGAAATACACCAGAGCTCCTTTGGGTGCCGCCCAGCAAGGGGAGAGCGAGAGCCACCAGGAGGGAAACACCAGGAAAGGTGGCACTAAATGGTGGGCTGCATTCACACGTGGAGCCCACTGCTCTGTCTCTTTCACTAGCTCTCCTGTCTGCTTGCTTCTGTCCCAGAGAGCCCCAGCCGCAGGCAGCAAAGCCAAAGCCCCCTGTCTGTTTACAGACCCACCCTCAGGATGGGGCCATTCATTACAGCCCCTCAAAGTCATTCACTGACGCTCCCTGGGAGCAGGTGGTGGTGGGGTTTCTTCTCTAACCGCCGGTCAGCGTTTTACACAAAGTACTGATGCAGCTTCCCCTTGGATCAGGGCACTAGCCCAGCGTTTCTCAAATGTGGCCACCATGGCCGTGTGTGGCTACCAGGGGCTTTTCTTGTGGCCACAGCTTCCCGGACTGAGATTGAGGTGCCAAAGTAGCAGCCCCCCTCCCTGGTGCTCCCGGATGCACTGCCTTGGTGTTTGTTGATAGCTGGGGCCACCATCGGGGTTGAGCCCTGCCCCCCTCTGGATACACCTGGGGCACAACGGTGGAGGAGCAGGCAGCCATGGTTTCCCCACCTTCCCAGGGGCCGTGGGACTCAGGCCCTGGGGTGGTGGGGTGACAGGCTCTGGATCTGGAGCAGGGCTTCAGGCTTCAGTCCTGGGATCCAGCTGCGGGGCGGCAGGCTCCAGGTGCATGGCTTTGGGCTCTGTCCTCTGGCCATGGAGCTTTGGGCCCGGCCCCCTGCTGTCTTCCTGGCCCCAGCTGCCTCCCCCGATCCCCCATCCAGGGCTTATTTTGTCCCCAAACTTGCCAGGGCTGAGTAAGTCTGCTGTGAAAAGTGATATCTGTATGTTAGTTAATATCACTTTTCACAACAGACTTACTAGCTAGCAATAAATAAATTACGATTTGGACATGCATATGTGCATATTTATTTGTTTTTCCTAACGCTAATTAAGTATTTTAGGAAAAAGCGTGAGAGCAGCCACCAGCAAGAGTTGGTGGCCGTACTCTGTGGCCACCAAATTATTTGTCCTAAGAACCCCAGCACTAGCCTTAAAGCACAAGCCTGGGAGGTGCTGAATGCCCTCAGCGCCCCTGGATCTCACTGCCGGTCAGGGCTGTGCAGTGCCTACAAACCGTTGTTTCCAGGTTGCTGTTGCTCTCCTCACCATATGCAGACGCAGGCGTGGCAGTTTGCTTCACCAGGAAGCATTGGGGATGGGCTTGGCCATGCTCGAGGTAGGCACTGGGCTATTGGCCATTTTAAGACTGCCTTGGCAGCGGAGTGCTGGTGGTTTCCGTCCTTCCACTCCTTTTCCTCTGACTGTGGTTTTAACCTCATCCTGTCGCTCACGCTCTGTTTGTCATCGTGTCACCTCGTGCACAGATTTGCTCCTCCGGGAGACCAGGCATTCTCTGTTTTATTTCTTTTTAGGTCCGGTTCCCATTTGCATCCACAAGTGACCATGCCAGGGACTTTGGCGCTGCTTTCAGTTCTGTTCAGTCTCCTCCACATCACCGAGGGGCAAACGTTCAGCTGGGGACCGTGTCCGGATCCACCCGTCCAGGAGAACTTTGATGTTACCAAGGTGTGAAGTACTCTAAAATCCTGCTGGCTCAAAGCAATTAAGGCAAAGAGGGTGTGTAAAGATCAGCCAGCCTGCCAGGGTGGCTGAACAGTGGAGCAAATTTTGCGCTCCATGTGCTATGCCTTCCCTTGTGCCCACTCCACAGAGGACGTGAGTCTAATAGTGACACCCTTCGCTCTGTGACAGTGCTTTTCATCCATAGGTCTCAAAGCGATTTACAAAGGAGGTACGTACCATATCCCCATTTTACAAACGGGGAAACTGAGGCACAAAGGTACATTGACTTGCCCATGGTCCTACAGCAGGCTAGTGGTAGAGAACCCATGTGTCCTGAATCCCAGTCCGGCGCTCTCTCCATTAGGCCATACTGGTACAGCCTCTCCTGCCTACAGAGCCTGGCTTTCTAGCTCAAGTTGTAGGGACACATGCATTTAATTCTAAAGGTTGCCAGTTTGGTCCCTTCTGTGGACCAATGTGGTTATTCTCACACAAACGTAGAAAAGTTTCTTTGAACTGAGCAGAATAAGGACAATGTTAATGAAGGAACTAGACTGCCCTGTAGCCTGTTGATCACATCCATTGAATCCCTGTGAATCTGAGGACACTAACAAGGCTTGTTCTGGGTTTTCTTTTTTCAGTATGTTGGGAAATGGTATGAAATCGAAAAGCTGCCTGCAAGCTTTGAGAAGGGAATCTGCATCCAGGCCAATTACTCACTGAAGGAAAATGGGAAGATTAAAGTGGTAAATCAAGAGCTCCTGTAAGTACCTTTTTCCAAGCTTGTATCCTTGCTGCAGCAGGATCCCAGTGAGCCTTGAGTTTTCTTGCCGCTGAGCAGAGAGAATCTCTTAAATTACACTAACTGGCTGATATTGTCTTTCTCCATATCTGCCAACGCAGCCTCATCTCACTTCCAGAGGGCACCATGCAATGCAGAGGGGATGCTCACCTCATGGTTTCAGTAACTCAGCTGGCAGGACAAGCCAGAGATCTGTTGTCAGAGATAATGCATGGCCCAGCCGCACTTCATCCCTCTCCTTGTGCTTTAGCTTGGGTCTCTGGTCTCTGTGCTGTACCCTTTGAGCACCGGCATGTCTTGTCGCACTGCAAGCCTGACCCGCGAATAGGAAATACATCAGTGCGTACAGCCACTGGTAAAAGAGCATGCGCTGAGTATTACGCACTGTCCTGCAGCCCTCGCTGGCCTGAACCTGATGTGACTTTACTAGTCTCAGGGTGACGTTCATCCCTGTGCAGAGGCCGCTTGGTGCTGAACAGGCGCCTGGGCCCTGTGCTGGCCCCTTGCTCACGGGCGGATGCCACCAAAATACCAGTCAAGAGGCCACAAACCCAATCCAAGTATATTGGCCATTTTCAGTGAAGCAAGTATTTGTAAGTCTGTTTTTGCAGTATTCACTTAGCTCTGGTAGTACCTGCTGTGTAATGTGTGCCAGAAATAGCTACCCACGTAAATCAATGAGCATTGTAAATAGATTGTTTGTGGTATTTTACTTGTGATTTGCAAGCCCAGAGCTCTTCTGAATTTTTGCAGAGACTGGTCCAGGTGTTTTTTCTATAGTGCTGTCAGATAGTCTCAGCTTTCACAGGAGGCTGTTGTGAGTGAATGAATGAAAGGTTCTTTGCATTCCCTGGCATGACATGGTGGCTTTGTTCTACTGCACATAACAACATTTCAGTCCATTCTTTGTGCTTGGCAGATGAGCAGTGCCCGTTTGCCTTTGTGCCCATTTTCCTCTGTATCTGCTTAGCACTGTCTCCTCTCCTTCTTTGCCAAAGAAGGGCCTGACAAACAGCAGGGTAATTCATTGAGTCCATATTAAACTGCAAGAGATGGGGGAGGTTGTAATGTGACTGACGGTCTGTGTAATGATTTCACTCTGTTCAGGATCCTGAGAGCTCCAGAATAACTCGAGCTGTTCGAGGTAAAGAACACCAGCCCTCCTGTGCATACAGCCCTGAATGCAATGGCAGATGGAGGAGGCTGCCACGAGAAGGAGCCAGGGATGTTTTTTGCTGTTTGCATAGACCCATACATTCTCAGCGCTCACACACACTTCAGCCCCTTCCAATCTCTCTGCTCTTGGTGGGGCAAGGCAGCAACCATAACAGATAATACTTGTCATTTTCTACCATTTTGTATGTTCAAAGCACTGTACTGGTACTAACAAACTAATTCTCACGATGGCCCCAGGAAGCAGGTGGGCAAGTATTATAACTTTCTCCTTTTTACTGATGGGGGAAACTGAGGCAAAGAGGTACAATGACTTGCCCAAGGCCACAGAGTCAGTGGAATAGGGAATAGAGCTCAGGATCTCTTGTCTCGTAATCCCATGCTCATTTCTTCAGACCATGTGACCTCTCCCTTGCCAGTCCCCAAAAGTGGGCAGTTCTTGTTATAGGGGTTTTTGCTGTTGAGTGGAGGTGTTGGGACGATAGTTCAGAGTCTGTAATTAAACAAATCTTACTTTATTAAACTGGGACATGTAATAAGCAAGGGGAATAATATGCTTTAATCTAAGTAGGACACAGGCAATTAGACAGGTGTGAACATGTGATACGATTGCTGGAAGCTGGGCAAATTCTGTGGGAGTCGGAGGAGGGATGTCAGCATCTCCTACCCTTTAACAGCAGAGGCCTGATCCCCACTGCCTGGCATTGTGTGTGTGGCGGTTACATCAACCTCGCTCTGTCAGTGTCTACTCACTACAGTATTGCTCCGGCCGATGCAAGTCGCCCACTGCACCAAGCTAATAACTCCACCGCCGCGAGAGGTGTTGTGCTTCGGTCGATGTAGTTAGGTCAACGCAGTGTCAGCACTTCCATAGGTCTGTTCTGGATGTCAGCCCCAGCAGCTGAAACCAATGTAATTACTATGTTGGCTGTATGTCGACATGACTTAAGTTTGTCACGTAGACTTGCCCTGATTCTCCTGTCGCTTACACTGACCTTGCACCCCGCCTCTCCATTCAGTGGTGTGTGTTTTTTTGTGTTTTTTTTTCTCAACAGCGGTGTCAGCAGCAGTCCAGGGAAGGAGCACTCCAGCCGGCAACAGCAGCAGCTCAAGGGAGGGAGAAGGAGCTCCAGCCAGCAGGGCAGCCAGAGAAGAGGGAGGGCTCCAGCCAGCAGGGCAGCCTAAGCGGACTGACCCTCCCTCCTGTACCTATTGGGTTCCGGGAAGTGGGTGGGCGGAAGCCCGCCCACTGCTATAGGACCCCCCACCCCCACCCCAGCCTAAGGGGAGGATCCACAGGACCTGGAAACCAAATGATTCCGGGGGACAACTAATGAAATAACAGGGACAGGAGTGCGGTCAAAGGGTTAAAAGAAGGGAGCCTGACGGGGACACCGAGCAGAGAACCCCGGACAGTGCCCACTGCTCCTCAAAGGCGTCAAGGGAGCCAGTGGACGCTGCCTGTTACTCCATATTCACACCAGTGTGAGTGAGAGGAGAGCTGGTGTCCTTGTGCTGCACCTCTTTCACCCATGCAAAGTGAGCGTGAAGTGCTGTCAAATCTGAATGCTTCAGACACTTAGCTTTTTATACCCTTTTTGCACAGGTATAAGTCTCCACCCAAAGCACAGGAAAGTAGAGAATTGGTCCACAGATGGTGGAGAATCAGGCCCTGGGGGCTATTTTATTATGAGTTAACTTTGTAAGGAAACCAGGACAGGGAAAACTGAAGCATCGTGGAAAGAACAATGACAATTTCTGAATTTTAAGCAGATCTGGGCCTGCTCAGGGGTTGGGATCTCAATTTCAGAGAGAAAGGAGAAGTGAATAGGAAATGATGTCTCTTAAACATTCCCTGCACAATGTGAGCACATGCAGGGCTATGCAATAGGATGGAGTGCCAAACAAGTCACACTTCCCCTTCCTTCCCCTCCTTCCTATTATTATTATTATTTTAAGGTCAGGCTTGACAAAGCCCTGGCTGGGATGATTTAGTTGGGGGTTGGTCCTGCTTTGAGCAGGGGGCTGGACTAGACGACCTCCTGAGGTCCCTTCCAACCTTGATATTCTATGATTCTATGATTCTATTATTTGCATTGTGATGGATCAGGGTCCACTGTGCTAGCCACTGTACAAACGGAGAAAAAAGGGCAGTCTGCCCCGAGGAGTTATCTCCTCAATCTTATCCTCATCACTGTCATGTCTGAGAGCTTTCCAGCAGTGTAGTAAGCTACATGACAAACATCTGTCACTTGCTTGGGTTTTTTCTCTCTTCGTCTCCTACATGACAATTTGGGGATTTTTTAATTTCTTTTCTTTATATTAATAGACTGTACACACACTATACCATGGGTTTATAGTTGCAAAACACACACTGACATTCTGCTGACACAAGCTGTTCAGTTCAGCAACATACAAAGCAGGAAAATACACCAGAGAGGCAGTTGGTTGTTCTGGGCTAAGTGGCCCCCTGCTCTGATCCTGTATGGCAATCCCGACGTTCCTATATTGCCATCTAGATTGCTCTGCATGGCATGACATCTAGAGTGTGCTGTTACTGGAAATCGAAACATGTCATCTAAAAGTTGATTCTGTGCCTATTGGGAAGCTGCTGTTAACTGGAACGCACGTTATGTGGGGTTTTACTTTGGATTTTAACCGACTATATGTAGATTACCACCTCAAGAGAGTGAGTTACTGGAAATAACTGTTTAAATGTGATTGCAAACCTGTGCCATTAATCTCCAAACCTCTTGTTCTCCCCTTAGCTCTGACGGCAGAATTAATCAAATCGAGGGGGAGGCTGTCCAGGCAGACAATGAGCTGGCCAAGCTGGGTGTCAGCTTTTACTGGTGTAAGTGTGTTTGTTTAAAGGCTCATCCTGGAAGAAGTTTAAAGACATTCCCTGCAGTGGGCCAAATCCTGCTCCTCGGGTCTTGCTATTGGCTTCAGTAGCACCATGAATTCTGCCCAGAGCTGGGTCCTGATTCTGTTTGCACACTGGTATAGATCAGTGGAGTCCCATAGGTGTAAAACTAGTTCAAGTGAGAGGAAAGCAGGCCCAGTGGTAAGGCCCCCAGATGAGAAACAGTTCAGGATAAATGTTTCTGTGGCGACTAGGAAGTTGGACAATGATTTTATTTTAATTTAATTATGTGGCTTTTTTCTTTTCTTTCACTTGTTATCATGCCATCAAGGCTTCTACCATCGTTGTTACATACCCGTTTCTCCTTGTGCACAATATTGTTTCAGAAAGTATTCCCTTTGTCCACCTTTACACTTGTTCCTCACACCTTCCTGCTGCCTTGTTAGAGGTTTGATGGCTGCTCTGATGTCTCCTGTGTGCGTGGAGTGGGGAAGGAGACTATTCTTATTCACAAAAAGTAATCCAGGGAAGGGCTAGTTCTGCGCTGCCATGCACGATGTCACTCGCACACTGGGGGAGTGAAACATGCTACCATTTTCCTTGGTACAAGGCAGTGGAGAATCAGGTCTGGATCAAGGGATGAACCCTGTAACCTGTGTTCTCACGAGTACGTCAGGCTGGACCAAGTTCCCTCCATCAGACTGATGTCAACCTGACCTAACTCGAACTCCATTTAAGTCAACAATCTAAATTTAGACCAGTCTCTTCTAACAGAGAGCAGAATTAGGCGTGTCAGCCAGATCCTCAATGAATAAATGGTGCTACTGTACCCTAAGTAGAGGGGGCTCTGGCTTCCCTGGCAGCCGGGCCTGGGCGGGGGGCAGCCTGCCACTGCCTCCCCAGCCAGGCTTTCTCAGGCAGCTGCTGCGCTGCATGGAGCGGTGACCCAGAATGGCTGGTGGCATGAGAAGTGTCTGGTCCCACCCTGTCCGCTCCCCCTGGGCCTGACTGCCAGGGGCAGAGTCTGCTGGGGGACAGGCGCAGTGGGAGGACAGAGCCCTTCTCCCGCCCTCCCGGTGGCCAATCGGGGGGGGGGGGGGGGGACTTGACCCCTCCCCCCGTGTCGCCCGCCGCGTGTCTTTGACTGAACATCATGAAATAAAAACAGGAAAAGGGAATTACACTATTTGGCTTTAGCTGCAGGTCTGACCCAGTGACTCTAAGGGGGCAGGAGCAGGCACCAGGTGTGAGGTGTGGTGGAGTCATCTCTGGGCCTACCAAGATGACCGGTACCCCCTGATGTCTGTTCTCATGTGCACCGAACTCCCCTTCATTCCAGCCTGTGGGGGGGTTTTGGTTTTTAACTGTGGATTAGCTGTTGGCACTAGGCTGTATTACACATCCAGCATAACTAGTAATGAGTCTTTAGTTCAAAATTCTATTGGCTTTCTTGAATCTATCAGGTGTAACATGAAACCTCTACATAATAACTTCCTGCCCTTTCATAGGTCACACAGCAAGTCAGTAGCAAAACTGGGAAAAGAACCCAGGAGTCCTGACTTACCGTAACTCCTCTAACTGCTTAACATACACCAAGGAAAATCAAATGTTGGTTAATCATATTTTCTAATGATGCCCCTGCTGTTTTTCTAGTCATGCCCTCTAGCCCTTACTGGGTACTCTCCACTGACTATGAAAACTACTCCATGGTGTATTCCTGCACTACTTTTATCTGGCTCTTCCACGTTGAATATGCCTGGATTCTGTCAAGAACTCCCCAGCTGCAGCCAGAAACTGTGGAACGCCTGAAGAACCTTCTCCGTTCCTACAAGATTGACACTGAGAAAATGAGGCCAACTGATCAAATTAATTGTCCTCCTGAGATGTAGATCCCACTGTTTAGAAGAACAAGTCCAGGATAGTTATGAACTCTGTTGCTTTCTTAGTGTTGGTTAAAACCTCTTAATTTAGAATAACAAACTCTTTTGCTAATGGTAGCTTGTAAACCCTGACTGTAATGTCTACATGTGATAGCAGCTACGTAGCATTGGTACTCTGCCTGTGTAACCTCTCTCATGTACTTTGAGAAGCCTGAATAAATTATACCAAAACCCTTTCCATCCTTACTGTTCTTTCAGAGTTAAATAGGCTTTGAGTGCCGATTCCGAAGTTCTGTGGCCAATACAAGTTCTCAGGAATGGATGCAGGAGGATGTAGGCTGTAGCATACAAATGTCCCCTGGGGAAAACTGTTCTCATGGCATCTGGCAGGCTTGTTTCTTCGCATTTGTCTTGATGTCTGGTAGGCCTGTTATCAGCACACGGCTCAATCAGCGACATCATCACTATCGTCTCTCTAATAGCATCCTATTGACATAAGAGGGATTCTGTAGGGAGGCCAGAATTTGGGAGCCAAGATTCTCTACAGAGAGAACTTTTGTCCATTGTTTACGTTGGCAGCTCTATGGTGAGAGATGTTTATTTTTACTTGAGGAATGTAATGGCTTCGCCAGCATGGACATAAGCTGCTGTGAAGGCCACAGAACTCTTCAGTGATTTCACTGGTCTTTGGGTCAGGCCTTGTATGTCCAAATCTCAGATTGCTAAATACATCCCAGAGTGTCTGCACCAGTCGCCCATACCCCCGTCTGAGAATGTGCCCTCTCCTAACTGTAACTATGATGGAAGCAGTTTTGTAAGGGGAGAAGGGAGCAGCGTCTATTCTGTGTCCTAACCTAAACTGCTCTCGGCTTCTGAGATCTGTAAACAAGCAGGGAGAGAAAGAACATCTTCCCGCTGCTAGAGGCTGACCAAGTGACAGGCAAATGGAGCTCTAACCCTGCCTTGTAAGTGTATTGTACTTCAAGGATTTCATCTAAATACTCTGTCAATGGAAGGCTTTCATTCACATCCTGCTTGCTGCTTTTGTATTCATTGGGATATAGCCGGGACATCACCTTTTCCCCTGACAGATGTTCAGGAGTCAAGATGACTCTGTATACGTAGTAACAATACAGCTCCTTACAAATGAAACCAACGTACCTGCGGTATGGCTGCATAGACTTTTTCCTTCAGACATGGGGAATTGGGGGTGCATAGTCCTTCCCCAGAACGCAGACTCTGCCTCTCCCTGTAATGTCACACCGCTGACCAGTATCCGCCCATTCCGGCTCTTCCTATGTGGCTCCGCTCTCATTAGCTCTATGTCTTTGTCTCCTTTGGAAGCAAAAGGTGTTTTCCAGGAGAGCAGAAAGATTTACCAAGGTGGAGATTCCTTTCCGTTTGGCCATAAAAAGAAACAAAGCCAAGTCCACAGTGACGTACAGTAGAAAGCCTTTTGCTAGAAGCAGGTATCTCCTATCTGATGATGTAGTGGGGTGGTACTTGGAAAAGGCTTGGACTCTTCCAGCTGGTTTAGTTCAGGCTCATTCTCCAAGTGTTGCTTCCTCAGCATCTGCTTCTGTCAATAATAATTGCAATTATATACATAGTGTTTCCTCTACAGATGCACTTTACAGAAGTGGGATAAGCCTAATTCTCCCCCTTGATGGTATTTTATACAGATGACGTCACTGAGGCTAAGTGACTTGCCCAAGGTTGCACTGTGATCTCAGTGGTGATACCAGGTATAGGCCCCACATTTCTTTGTTGCCAGTCTTGTGCGCACTCTGCTAGACAACAGCTATCCCTTGTATGCCATCCTGTGCTGGGAACAGGGGGAACCAGGGTCACATTCTGGATCCTAGGATAAAATTAGGGTGATCAATCCCCATCCTATTTGCCCCCCAAACACAGTAGATAATGGTCATAACCTTTGCTAGGTGTCCCAGGGCACTGTCTTCACAAAGGAGATAACTTTCTGCAAGCTGTGTGTGATACAGACTGCTGCTGCAGCCTGGCCCCTGGAGGAGGAACCGCTACTGTGAACGGGATTTCCCTGGAAACAGTCACAACAAATGTTAGTTCCACAATAGCTGCAGAGAGAAGACAGGTGTGGCTGATGCTTAAAAGATGCCTGCAGGTTGTCAATGAGAGCAATTGTCTCAGGGCAGGTGCGTGCTGGGTCAGTGCTGCTCAAAGTAAAGCTGCCTTTGAACATACCTGTATCTGGTTTAATTCCCTTTGGCCGCAGATACTGCCCGGCCATGGGGAAGCTCAGAGACAGAGTGTGGCTGCCTGGTGTATGGGGGTGGGGGGAAGCATAAGCAATGCAGCTTCCCTAGGCCACACAGCTTCCCAGCCCTGTGCATTCATGCAAAGAATCATAGAATGATAGAAGATCAGGGTTGGAAGGGACCTCAGGAGGTCATCTAGTCCAACCCCCTGCTCAGAGCAAGACCAATCCCCAACTAAATCATCCCAGCCAGGGCTTTGTCAATCCTGACCTTAAAAACTTCTAAGGAAGGAGATTCCACCACCTCCCTAGGTAACCCATTCCAGTGTTTCACCACCCTCCTAGTGAAAAAGTTTTTCCTAATATGCAACCTAAATCTCCCCCACTGCAACTTGAGACCATTACTCCTTATTCTGTCATCTGCTACCACTGAGAACAGTCTAGAGCCATCCTCTTTGGAACCCCCTTTCAGGTAGTTGAAAGCAGCTATCAAATTCCCCCCCCCCCCATTCTTCTCTTCTGTAGACTAAACATCCCCAGTTCCCTCAGTCTCTCCTCATAACTCATGTTTTCCAGTCCCCTAATTATTTTTGTTGCCCTCCGCTGGACTCTTTCCAATTTTTCCACATCCTTCTTGTCATGGGGGGCCCAAAACTGGACACAGTACTCCAGATGAGGCCTCACCAATGTCGAATAGAAGGGAACGATCACGTCCCTCGATCTGCTGGCAATGCCCCTACTTATACATCCCAACATGCTATTGGCCTTCTTGGTAACAAGGGCACACTGCTGACTCATATCCAGCTTCTCGTCCACTGTAACCCCTAGGTCCTTTTCTGCAGAACTGAAAAGGCCAGGGACAGTCAGGCTGTGAGAGGAAAGTACCATCCTGTGCCACTGAGTTTCTCTGTTCTGCACCTCTCCTACCTACCCCTTTTGTCTGGGGCTGAAAAGGGCTTCCTGCCAAACCCTCTGCTTAGAACAACCTCCCAGCTACTGTTTACTGAGGTGCCTCCTGGGCAAAACCTCCACCAATCCACCCATGCTGTGAAATGCATCAGCTAGAGCCAGCGCACCTATCTCTGTGTGGTCCCCATGGCAGGGATGTGTGGCAGGGAAGCTGTTTACAGCAGACGGTGTGTCACAGGTGTTACGTGCACACTTACAGCTCAGCATGTGTACACTTACAGAGCTACCGCTATGACAAGAGCAAAAAAACGCGAATGTCCCACCTGGTTATCTGAATTCTGGGGAGGCTGAAGTGTCAATGAAAATTCAATACAGGTCAAATTAGTCTCCAGAAATCTTGTCTATTAAACGTGAGCACCAGCTAGTGCACTGGAAAAAGCATTGTGACAGCCTTCATCCTTGTTAAAGACAGACAGCAGGAGTCAACGTTTGCCATCTATTCACTACTGTAAACAGGAGCTAATGCACAGCTGCTTACGGGATATTTATGGGACATATTGGTTCCTATGTCAAGAAACAAATGAGCGTGCTCAAGCGTGCAAGGCACCCTGTATCATCCACTCACAGTCAGTGGGAACCCCGGTCATTCAGCACTCTGCATCACTAGGTCTGTAGCAAATTCTGAGGGTGGACTGCAGCGAGGCAGTGGGTGAGGATTCCATATAGCATGCAGGTGCCATTGAGGGAGTACCTGAGAAGGCAACAGATTCAGAAACCTGACACAGGAAAAGGCCAAGAAAACATTATTGTCAAAAGCAAAACTAAATGCAACCGACATGATTTCAAGGTAATTGTGTGCTTGAGCGAACATAGGCTGGCAGCCGTCAGAATCTTTGTAGTGATCCCAGGTCCTGGCAGTGCCAGCTTAACTCAGTAGCTCAGTAATTCCAACAAACCCATATATTTGTTTTGGCAAGGCTGGCAATTGGCAGTAGTTTTGTTTTGTCATCTTTGCAATCAGCTACAACTGGCTAAGCTGGTACATACTCATTATGCGAGGATCCCTGATGTGTGTGGAGTACATGGCAAAGCATGCTCTTGCACTGAGGCATCCTGATAACACTGCAGGGAATCAGCACTGCATAAATACTTTGTCTCCAAAGGGAGGGATCTTGTAGCGATCAGAGATGCCTGCCATGTTTAATCTGTTATCACAGGAAAGCCCTAACTCCTACTGCCACAGCTGTCCTTGATGCAAAGTCTAGAGCCATATTCAACTGCATTTACAAACTGAAGCCCAGAACTACTATTCAGGAAAAGGATGCCCAGGCCATGGTGTCAGGAGAGCTGGGTTCTGCTTTCACTTCTGTTACGTACCTTAGGAAAGTGATTTAAACTTTCTGTGCCGTATTTCCCCATCAACACAAGCGAGATGATGATAATATATACCCACCTCTCAGGAGAGTTGTGAGACCACATCCATCACTGTTCACAGACATTCTCAGATGGCAGATGCTATAGAAATGTCACTCGGTAACATACATTAAATAACTAAACAAAGGGTTCTTGCCAATTCTTTCAGAGACGGAAAGGGAGAATGTTGGCTGGGGGCAGGTGCAGTGATGGCAGACCCTGTATAAACTTCCCAGTACAGCTCTGACTAAAGCACCTTCGCACTCAGTCACCACCGGGGCTATGCCTGGGCCTTTCTGAAGGGAACAACCTACCTACTGGGCTGCCTTACATGTGCCTGGCTAGCAGGGATTAGCATGAGGGCACCCAGCTCATTTCATATTTTATAATACACATGATTGAGCACAGATGTGGTAGGACAAAAGGCTGTGTCCGTGTGACCAGCAGTACTCTTCCACAAGCATGATTTATAAATGCAAAACTGGAGGTAAGAAGGAGAGGGACTTGCAATGAGTGAAGTTTTGTTTAAAATCACTATAAGAACATCCATGCTGGGTCAGACCAATGGTCCATCTAACCCAGCAGCCCATCTTCCAACAGGGGCCAATGCCAGATGCTTCAGAGGGAATGAACAGAACAGGGCAAGTATCGAGTGATCCATCTGCTGTCGGCCATTCCCAGCT